TTGGATTTAATTAAATCTCATTTATCATTTACGTATGCATACAAAATTGAAAAGGGGTTAAAAATTATTCTAATAAGAGGAGGAAAGAGTCTAATTTAAAACACAAGAAAATTTTGATATAAATAGAAATCATAAGCAGGCATGACTTGTGTGGTTTAAGTTGTTCCTACCTTTATAGTAATTGCCATGCGGTTTTGAACGTGATAATTGTAAAGTTCTTCGTGAAGTTATTTTTATTGTCACAAAAAGGTTCTTAGGGGCCAGAGTTGCGATCTGTCACAGGTCAACAAAAACAGCCCACCTGTCACAGGCCGTTACCTGTTCACAGGTCAAATTTTTTCGCCTATCACAGGTCTGACCTGTCAAAGGTTCTACCTGTCACAGGCCGTTACCTGTTCACAGGTCAATTTTTTTCGCCTGTCACAGGTCTGACCTGTCAAAGGTTCTGCCTGTCACAGGCCGTTACCTGTTCACAGGTCAATTTTTTTTTGACTGTCACAGGTCTGACCTGTCAAAGGTTCTGCCTGTCACAGGTCGTTACCTGTTCACAGGTCAATTTTTTTCGCCTGTCACAGGTCTGACCTGTCAAAGGTTCTACCTGTCACAGGTCGTTACCTGTTCACAGGTCAATTTTTTCCACCTGTCACAGCTCTGACCTGTCGCAGGCCTCACCTGTGACAGGTCGTCACCTGTTGACAGGTAGAAAAAATCTACCTGTCACAGGTTGATCTGTCACCTGTCACCTGTCACCTTTGACTATCGAAATTTTTTTCTACTAGTGAAGTATAAAGATTTCATACAAAATTCATCAATTTTTTTGCTTCCTCAAGTCACGAGTTCAAATCTCACCGCAGGCAACTTTCTTTTTTTGCATTTTTATGATTTGTTTTTAAATTTTTTTGATAAAATATAAAGTTTTATGACAAAGTTTTCCATTTTCATATTTTATTTCTTCACTTTCTATATTTTAACATGTATTTTAAATTTTTTCCATATATTTTCATACAAATTCAACTTTTTTTGTCATATTTTAGTTTACCAAGCTGAAATCTGACACAAAGGCACTTTTCCTAGATCTGGATGTTCTTAAATCGTAATCTTGGATAATAAAATGGCATAAAATATTAAAACTAGTATAGACTTTGTCATTCGAGACCGCAAAAAGTCGAAATATATAATAAATTATAATCCAAGATTACGATTTAAGAACATCCAGATCTAGGAAAAGTGCCTTTGTGTCAGATTTCAGCTTGGTAAACTAAAATATGACAAAAAAAGTTGAATTTGTATGAAAATATATGGAAAAAATTTAAAATACATGTTAAAATATAGAAAGTGAAGAAATAAAATATGAAAATGGAAAACTTTGTCATAAAACTTTATATTTTATCAAAAAAATTTAAAAACAAATCATAAAAATGCAAAAAAAGAAAGTTGCTTGCGGTGAGATTTGAACTCGTGACTTGAGGAAGCAAAAAAATTGATGAATTTTGTATGAAATCTTTATACTTCACTAGAAGAAAAAAATTTCGATAATCAAAGGTGACAGGTGACAGGTGACAGATCAACCTGTGACAGGTAGATTTTTTCTACCTGTCAACAGGTGACGACCTGTCACAGGTGAGGCCTGCGACAGGTCAGAGCTGTGACAGGTGGAAAAAATTGACCTGTGAACAGATAACGACCTGTGACAGGTAGAACCTTTGACAGGTCAGACCTGTGACAGGCGAAAAAAATTGACCTGTGAACAGGTAACGACCTGTGACAGGCAGAACCTTTGACAGGTCAGACCTGTGACAGGCGAAAAAAATTGACCTGTGAACAGGTAACGGCCTGTGACAGGCAGAACCTTTGACAGGTCAGACCTGTGACAGGCGAAAAAAATTGACCTGTGAACAGGTAACGGCCTGTGACAGGTGATCTTTTGACAGAAACTGTCACCTTTACCTGTGACAGGTACCTGTCGTCGCAACTCTGCTTAGGGGGTTGTTCGGAAATGACGTCAGTCGATTAATTGGACTTACATAAAGACCCACTTCCATTCTTCTTATGACATGGAATTCTTTCTTAAAACATGTTTATAAGTGCCATAAAGAAACCGCGTAATCAGCTACTTGAGTGTACCCGAAATGTCTTCACTTAATCTCTCCCTAGGTAGTTTTCGTCCTCTAAGGTTTGATTATAGAGCTATCCAGTGTACATTACCCTTAAATTGACTGTGACTAAGGTTTAGTAGCCGTAGTAGCATTAGAAAAGGGTTCCAGAGTCTCAATCCACTTTATTCCCTCTCCGAAATAGTAAATGACCTACCTCAAACGCTAGACATCATTTACAAACCAACCTATAACTTTAAATCAAAGAAATTTCCATAATCGTCAAAGAAGTATGGAAACAAATCAATTACAGTGTCCATAAAAGATTAAAATTCTTCCTTTTGCCTCTCATTTAATGAAGAATTTTAAATTAATTGAAAAGCAGTTTTCTGTGAACATCACGCGCAGGATCCAATTATGCCTCCCAAAACGCTTAACGAAGTGGACACTGTGAATAAACATTTACTTTATTTTCACTTTCTATCATCAACCCTTTTTTTAAAAAAAAAGAGTGCGAGAGTCCCTCATACTCTTGCGATATATAATTAATAAATATTTCGCACCATAGCACAATTCTCGAAGCTGTGCCTTTCATTTCTTTTGATACTCTCTTGCCAGGCACGCAAAAAACAAGAAAGATCTAAAAATTGACATCATGAAAGGGTGAGAAAGTGGTGCTCATTAATTTTTTACAATACCGGACAATATTTTTGCGTAAATAATAAAAGACTTAAAATTGAAAAATCTTTCTTTAACGTGCTCTTGCTTTCTCTTGTGCTACATCCAATTTTCATTTTCCCTGGAAAATCTACATGCATGTATCTAAAATGATGAAATATTTATGAAAGAATAAAAAAAATCCTACCAACGTAATATTTATAATATCCTGCTTGCTGGACATGCTGAACCCCTTTTCTTTTTGCCTCAAAGAATAACATGAAAATTTATCACAGAACGAGTAAATGAGCAGTGGTTGAGAGCTATCAGGGAGCGAATTTTCGCAGATAATTTGTTCTTAAAAATGTATCGGTTAATTTTTATTTGAATTTTTTGAAAATTTTTCCACTTCGAAAAGTATTTCTGCTACAATTAAGATTTAAAGCTATATCTTGAAGATGTGATTTAAGATTCTAAGCAAAAAAAGTGGCAAGAAACTAACTGCATACCAGAAATTTCTCAACTTTAAGCAAAATAATAAAATTTCATATAAATAGTCAGACACGTGGTTGACAAATATTTATATTCAAACTTAAACGCATGCTAAAAATTTGACCAAAATAAATGATTTTAATCATAAATGCTACTTCTTTGCCGGAGAGAGAAGCTATATCCAAACGAATTCGAATATATTTGGATGAATAACATGTGAATGTTAATTTATTTTTCTTCCTTATGTTTATGTATGCAATATTAATAATAATAAGAGCACAACAACAATAATATTAATATTAGCTACCACTGGAGAATGAAAATAAAATGCTGGATATTATTTTTCTTTCTCAAAGAGACTCTCCAAATGTCCACGCTCGCCTGCTCAACTCATATATTTACAACACATATGCAAAGTATTTTTCATATATGAAAAACTGAAATCTCACGAAAGGTTCGCCCCAAATGATGAAAATTCTACACTCGAATCCAATCTTTGTTCTTCTTCCTTCTTTTTTTTTTCATTCTTTTCATATATTATATGTATGTACAACGGACGTACGTTGAATCGATTTATTCGCCTTAGTCCGAGAGGAAAAAAAAAATTCCTATCTAAATATTTATTGTTTGACGTTGTTTTGCATATATACCCAATTTTCTTTACCCCCCTCTCACTGCCTCCTACTCCATTCATTCTCGTTTTACATATAACTTTTCATACTTGCGTCCATCTTTTGCGCCGTGCACCATATAAGAAGGAAAATGAGAGATAAAAAATTGTCGATGAATGTTTTTTCTATCAACAAAGAGCAATAGTGGGAGGGGAGGGGGGTCGTTAACAGATGACGGTCACAAATTACCGTAACATTTTGAATCAGGATTTATGCAATTTTATATGGTCATTTTTTGGACCTTAGCTAGTCTAAATTGATGGAGAGGAGGGTGGGGAATTAAAGTTTCAAAACAGCCGCAACCCCCTATCTGATCTTGAAGTATGCATTATTATTTCCAGAATTCATATGACAGTTACCAAGTATGTCTACCTATGCTGTACGTCACTAGTCAACGAACCCTAAAAAGGAATAAAATTTGTAAAAAAATTCCAATATTACGTTGACCATCCTTCAATTATATGCAGAACAACGAGCCTATCCATCCATCCTTTGATATTTAACATCATAGCTCCTATCTATACTTTCAATTCAACCCCTTTATACGCTTTATATTTCGGTCCAGTTCAAAGAAGATTTTTCCAATTATCTTTCTCTGTCAAGAACGGATATATATCCACTGCTATTTTTTATTTTATTTCATTTTTTTGTATAGAAATGAAAACAGCACTTGGAATTTTTAAATTAAATAAATATATGCGTACACGGAACATGATAATGTTATTGAAAAGAGAGCAGAAAAAATAAATAAATAAACAGAAAAGAAATGAAAAGCTTTTGATTATTTAGAATGGGAAAGAATCACATTCATTTGATAGGATATCTATCAGTCCATAAGAATTATATTACATCTACTCTCATAGTAGAGATGTCTGAAAAGTCATGTTTTTCCGATGTTCCGAATATTTTTTGTTTAAAACCTTACAAATGTTTGAAAGCCATACAACAGCAATAATTTCAAAACCTTTCAAATGTTAAAAAAATTCTCAGCAGAAATAAAATATCTAAACGTCGTCCAAAACACTACAAATATTTCAAAAACTTTTGAAACCATACGACAGCTAAAAATGAGTCAAAAACAAGAAATTTGAAATTTTGCAAAAAGAAAGTAGAACTTTATTTCCAAAAAAGAAAACTCATGAAAATTTTAATTTTTTCAATATTTTTGAAACTTTTTAAAAATTGATAACAAACTGTTTTTCAGATGAATGAGAAAAAATAAAGTTTTGAATAATAATAAAAATAAAAAATTAAAACTTGTTTTCAATAAATTTGTTGCAGCGATTTGAAGATTTCTATTTACTTCCGGTTCTTCTATGAATGATTATCTCTCACTTCAAACTCTAAACATTTAAGTAGTCTCCAAGAGCTCTTACTTTTTACTTGTCACTTTGTCTGATGTCACGCATCAATGTGTTATTCCTTCCATCACAATCACACCCGTTTGTCGTAACTTTTGCTTCCAAAAAGTTCTTTTCTGACCATTTCAATGTTCGTTCGCGAAGGAAGAGAGATTTTATGCAATATTCTATAATCGTTTTTTTTTGAATTTTTTTTTAACTTTTTTAATTTATTTGTAATGAAGTCGTCCGTCAACATCATTCAAATTGGATATTATTGTTTAATTAAGTTTGATGAGTCATTGTGAACTGTTCTTCGTAAAATTTCCCCACCTCATTTTTCATAATTTTTTGTTTTTGTTGTTGTTTAGTATCATTGTTGGATGATGTCTCATGACATGTTAAATTGCCATCTTTCATGCTCTTAATGTCCATTGTGTTTGTTTATCGCAGCTTTGATTCGCATTCTAAATCAATATGGTTCATATTGCAATCGTCATTAACTGTTCATCAAAAATTTTGCGACTGGAAATTACTATAAAACTTATCAGGACCTTGACTGTTTGCGAAATCTTGTGACAATAAGCCATCGCCTTGTGATTCTAAGAAATCTCCTTGCGAAAAGTCTGCATTAAATCCTGGCTGACTCATCATATTTTGACTCATTGATTGCGTTAATGGACCTGGCTGGCTACTACGTCCACGCATTTTTGATTGCGATGCACCGGCATTGACGATTTGATTTGGAGGCATTTTCTTTGCACGACTTTGTTTTGCTGCTTGTTGAATTGTCGCTTGTTGGAAGAATCTTGGCGGCATATTATTTGTCATATTCATAAACATTCCAACTGGAACTGCCATACCTTGCAACGCAGCTTGTGCTCGATCGGGCGAAATGTATGATATCGAGTCATGTGCACGGAACATATCCATACCCCAATTATTACTCATTCCCATATTTCCAGGCATCATTCGATCATTATTACTGTTATTGCCATAAAATGACCGATGCTGCATTGCCTCTTTGGCATCAAACATTGTCGATGACATGAAATGCTGGCCAGGATTAAATGTGTTGACAATTTTCTTCGGTTTTGCAAATTGTATCATTGATTCCTTCAAATTATTAAGTGATCCTTCAACAAGCACCTTTTTTTCCTTATAAAAGTTTAATAAATTGTTCCACAATTGCTGTTTTGAGAGAACTTTTGGATTTCCAACAATAATAATTCCGTACTTTGCACGAGTCAGTGCTACATTTAGACGTCTTGGATCATTCAAGAATCCAATTCCTTGATGTTCATTCGATCGGACACAAGACATGATGATTATATCCTTTTCACGTCCTTGAAATGCGTCAACAGAAGCAATTTCAATTTCTTGATACAACTTACTATGAAGACTTCCTTGATATTGCATATATTGAACGAGATAAGCACGTTGTCCCTCATATGGTGTAATTATTCCAATCTGTTCAGGTTTTAATCCAGCTTTTAAGAATCTTGTTGTGATCTTTTCAACATTTGCTGCTTCTGTTCGATTCAAATATGACGTTCCACTTCCGGCAATTTCTTCAGCTCCTTGAGTGACAAGGAAAAACATTGGACATTCAGGTGATGGCCATGGAAAGTCGACACGTAATTTTCTCTCTTCAGCACAAACACCATTTTGAAGTGAACCTTCATAGAAGAAGTTTGAAGGAAATTGTGACAATTCAGGATGCATACGATATTGAACTTCTAAACGGAATGGTCTGATTCCCAACACAACGAGACGTTCGAAAAGCGATTGAGATAATCCAGCTTTTGCTGCTTTCTTGCACATTACGACTGGGCCTGTAAAATTGCCATTGAATTAATTTATACTATTTTATTGCAAATTATTTGAGTAACTTACCAAGCTGACAATGATCTCCAACAAGAATTAACTGACGTGCACCGAGAACAACTGGAACCATCGCTTCTGGTTCGGTCGATTGCATAGATTCATCGATTAAGATTGAATTAAACTTGATTCGAGATAAACGAGGATCTCCAGCACCAACACAAGTACAGCAAATAACATCAGCAGCATCAAGCAATTCTTTTTCTGCCTGCTTTTTCAACATGCGATAACGCTTTTCATCTCCTGAAGATAATTCTCCAGTTTCGTCTTTTAATTGTTGTAACTTCTTTAATTCACTGTTTGTTTCCATATTACGAATTTGATTATGTAATGCTAAAAAGCTTACTGGTGAGTCAATAGCTTCACGTGATTTTGCACATACTCGAATGACTTTTAAGTTCGTACGATGAATCTTTTCTGTAAGTTGATCAACAGCTGTATTGCTTGGTGCACAAACTAAGACTGGACCTCCATTGATTTTGACCAGTTGATAAACAATCGTTGCTGATGTTACTGTCTTTCCAGTTCCAGGCGGTCCCTTTAAAGTAATTTGTATACCAATAATTAAATTATTTACAATTATGTTAAAAGTAAAAAATTACCTGAATTAAGGACAGAGGTCTTTGGATGGCATGTTTAACAGCATAAACTTGAGAACGATTTAAATCAGGCAAGTTAGGAGCTGAAAAGTGCTTTGGTGGATTATTAATCCTGAATGTTACATCGTCAGCACCTGAATGTCCCAATAATCTCGAATAGATAAAGTTCGAGACAGAATTATCGTCGACAGCAAACTTTCTTAAAGCCTGTTGCATTCTGTCGAAACTAGTTCCTTTCCATATGAAGTCAACAACAAAATTACTTGTGCATTTAGTTGGCGGATTAGAGCTATGCTTTAATTCCAATCCAACATCCTCTCCAAAATTATCAGGCACTTTAATGACATGTCCAATTGCCGACCAAGATTCATGCAATTCTCCAACATACCGTAAACGTAATTCGTCGCCATGCATTAATTTCATGTCTGAATCGATTTTGGCTAGCGTAAAATATGCAATTGTCTTCTTATTCAATCCTGTATCCCAACGAACTTCAATTCCCTCTTGAGTCTGTGACTCTTTTAAGCGTTTATCATAATCAGCCTCAAGTTTAACCAAAGGACCGAAAATATTTTGATATTGATATCCGTCATCATATCTAAGCTGTACTTGTGACGGTTCCTTGTCAATTCCGGGCTTTTCTAAATCAGCAATTGACGCTTCAACATTATCTTTCCATAATTCTTCAAGCTTATTAATCGTTGCAGCCGTTACTTGACGTGCACGAAGCTGTTCCTGTTCAGTTGGGATTTTGACGAGCCATGGAAGGAAGCAACGATCAGAAATTAAAGGTTTCCAATTTTCCTGATCCCAATTCATATCCTTTAATGAATTTTGCGATGCACACGGTTGACTATAAATTGTAAATAAAATATGAAGAATAACGTCATCAAAACCTTATTTTTCTTATCTATCGTCTACTTACCGACATAAAAGTACAACGACCGAATCAGCTTTTGCGGGAATAAAACCCAAAACGAAAACATTACGAATACCGCAAGAATAGCATTCAAGAACAGTACTTCCAAGTGGACCGTCTTCATGCAATGTAACTTCTCGATGTTTAGCGCGAACTAAATGATGGACAATATGCGATCCAGACGTATTACCACGTCCATTACAGAACCATTTCTTGCAAATGTTACACATAACAACAGTCGATGGCTCAGAAATTCCACAATAACGACAACTATGAGCAGATAGATCCTTTGATGATATTTGATCATCATCCTCTTCCTCAAACTGCAAATCATTCAAGCCTGATGAGATGGCATTAATCTTACTGCTTGTACTGTGTATTGGCGATGGTGGTTCCAATTTATCAAAGCCATTGAGCTAAAATAAATAAATTTGAGAGAAACGAATAAGATTATTGCACGTAATATAAAGTGCTGTATTGATAAGACTTGCTGACTCAAGGCTAAATGTAAGGAACGAATTTTATAGGTTTGTTTCCTATAAACTGACTTCGTGCCACAGGTTGTTTCACTTTTGCATTACAAATAGCTACTTTCAATGGACAAATTGGGGACATTTAATTAGTTAAAATGAGAAATCAACTGCTAGTGTATTAATACATTTTGATCAGATTTTGTGCCTTTTTTTCTATTTTTTATCGTCAATTATGCGTCATCATTATTTTTACTTCAATTTCATAAGTTAATTTCAATTTTACCTGACTTCCAATATGATGATCTAGCTGAGAAGCTTGCGACTGACTGGGTAATGTAAAGTCTTGAAAGTTAAATTGAGAAAATGATTGCGAAATAATAAAATCATCATCTTCTTGAAATGATAGACTTTGACTATATGACATTTTATGATTCACTCGATTCTAGTTCCTTTTCTATGATGCAGTTGCCGATGTTTATGGCTTCTCTGCTTCTCTATCTTTATTAATTAACGTGATTTTAATTATTTTTCGTGATTTTTGGCGAACTTGCTCTTTTCTTTGACTGTCGTTTGTTGAGTGATCAACCCCTTATTGTTTAAATGAATTTTTGAATGTTTTCTGACCGTTACTTTTAGAAATTTTAGCGACACAGACTTAATAGATTTAAAAGAACTAAGCAATATTAAATCAAAATTAACATGATCTAAAGCTCATTTAACATAATAATTAACTAGATGACTACAATACAAAACAAATAACATTAAATTCAAAAAACATTTAATTTTGAACTGGACAGTCAGTCACGTAATAGCAATTGCTCATTATTAACATATATTTGACAAGAAAGATTTTTGAACTGTGTGTGGCTTATAACAAGTCAAATAAGTTTGAGCTAAATTTAATTAATTATGTCGACTGTACCGCATTCAAAGAAACGTGTTTGTTATTATTATGATAGTAAGTATTAAAATTAAATAAGGAATATATTGTTTCTCTTAAAATAGTGACGAAAAATTAAATTTTCAATTTTCAAAATTTTACTGGAAGTGTCGAGTCGCGTCACTTTACAAATTCAATGACTGTACTGTAGAAATGCTTATAAACATAAAGCCGCAAAAGTGTTGTATGAAGATAGTTGAGATAAAGATTTAAATTTAGTATAACCAATAATATTTTCCTATCTATTAATTAAACTAGGTGATATTGGGAACTATTATTATGGACAAGGACATCCGATGAAACCCCATCGTATACGAATGACACATAATTTACTCCTTAATTATGGTCTTTACCGTAAAATGGAAATTTATCGTCCACATAAAGCAACACAAGATGAAATGACTAAATTTCATTCGGACGAATATATTCGATTCCTTCGATCCATACGACCTGATAATATGAATGAATACAGCAAGCAAATGCAGCGTTTTAATGTCGGAGAAGATTGTCCTGTATTTGATGGTCTTTATGAGTTCTGTCAACTTTCAGCGGGTGGTTCTGTTGCATCAGCAGTAAAGCTCAATAAACAAGCTGCAGAAATTTGCATTAATTGGGGTGGTGGTCTTCATCATGCTAAAAAGTCAGAAGCATCAGGTTTCTGTTATGTTAATGATATCGTTCTTGGCATTTTGGAACTTTTGAAGTATCATCAGCGCGTTTTATACATTGATATTGATGTCCATCATGGTGATGGCGTAGAAGAGGCATTTTTCACGACTGATCGAGTTATGACTGCAAGTTTCCATAAATATGGAGAATATTTCCCAGGAACTGGTGATTTAAGAGACATTGGAGCTGGCAAAGGCAAATATTATGCTGTAAATGTTCCACTTAGAGACGGAATGGACGATGAGAGCTATGAATCAATATTTGTTCCTATTATGACTAAAGTTATGGAGACTTTCCAGCCATCTGCAGTCATCTTACAGTGTGGTGCTGATTCACTGACTGGCGATCGTCTTGGATGCTTTAATCTTACAGTTAAAGGACACGGCAAGTGCGTTGAATTTGTCAAGAAATACAACCTTCCATTTATGGTCTTGGGTGAGTTATAAGTTTTCACTAATTATTAATCCAGATTTAACTAAAATACACATTAAATCTAAAGGAGGAGGAGGTTATACGATAAGAAATGTATCCAGATGTTGGACATACGAGACATCAGTTGCATTAGGCGTAGAGATAGCTAATGAATTGCCCTACAATGACTACTTTGAGTATTTTGGTCCAGATTTTAAGCTACACATTTCACCATCAAACATGACGAATCTCAATACAACAGATTATTTGGATAAAGTAAAGTCTCGATTATTTGAGAATCTTCGTATGCTACCGCATGCACCTGGCGTTCAAGTTCAACCAATTCCTGAGGATGGAATCAAAATGGATATCGATGATCAGGATGGAGCGGTTGAAGATGATGATAATAAGGACGAACGCTTGCCACAGTCAATTAAAGACAAACGAATTATGGGCGACAATGAATTCTCAGATTCAGAGGATGAAGGTCCACAAGGTGATGGCCGTAAGAACCGTGAGTCATTCAAAAATCCAAGAAAGAAGCAAAAAACCGATGGAAAAGCTGAAATTGATGGCGTTAAAGAGGAAAAGAACTCGTCTGAAGAAAAAACATCAGAAACATCCAACCAAACTGAGAAGAAAGAAGAAAATGGAACCGCGACGAAAAAGGAAGAGTCAAATGAACCATTGACTTGTGAAACTTAATTTAATTTAATTAATAATTATATCATACAGAACAATTATCAGAAAATTTTCTTTTTAATTTAAGGATAAAGATTTAGTCTTATTTTTTTAAATATTCTCCTATCTCACATTCAATTAGCAAGTACACACAATCAAATAAATTCATGTAAAAGTATTAAAATATGATTGATTTTGTCGAGAAACATAAAATTAAATTTATAAAACTATCAAGAGATTTTACCGAATTATTTATTTTTGAATTTTTCAGGGTTCTACCTTTGGATGTCTGAATTTGAAATATATCTTACCGTTAAAAGTGCTTGCTGATTTGTAATGAAATTTGTGTGTTTTGTATGACTGTAACAGGAAATTAGTTCAATTAAATGATTGCTATGACTGATAGCTTCAGAATATCAAGTAAAAGTCCTGAATTACAGCTAGTTTAACGAACAAATTTCTGATGCGCTTTAGGCAAATAGAACTACCGATAGTGAGCTGCTTACTTATTGTGAAAAAATTTTAAAAGTATCGTAAATAGTCGGCGTAAATTTGCAAATTAACTTAATTATAGTGAATATTTCTGCTATTTAGTGCGATAAGCTTGTAAACAACACAAAGTACTATACATAGATCGATGAGAACGTTAGAGGAAGTCGTGAATTTAGGCGTAAAACATGAGTCATAAAAGTGGCATATTGAAAGTCAAATCAAAATACGACACTTCCAAAACAGTTGAATTTTTGGTATTTGGCTATCATTGTAAACTATATAGAGATGACAAAAAGGCATTAGAGCTTGATAGAGAGAGTCATTTAATACCAGCACCATACGAACAAAAAGATTCCATTTCTAGGTATATATTTTTATCTACTTGTATTATTCTGTATGTTCTCGATTTTAAGATACATTTTTCTCGCTTCTACGCGTGTCATGTACACATTAATTGATTAATTACTGTACATTTCACACCGTAGAAACACTTATTGTGAACTAATGAACTAAATAGATTTAGATTTTGCAGCAACACAAACATCCTACATATAAAAATCCACGAATTCTTAATAAAACATACTTTATATTTATTTAACGTGCTATATCACGTTATCGTCGTTCGTCCTGTTCGATTCTGTGCCTATATACCCATATGTCTTTCCAAAATTAATTAAATATAAATAAATTAAAAAAAGAAGCATAATTTATAAAATATATTTTTTGGAAGACTGGGCAATGTTTCTCATTCTTTAGATGCATTGAATGATGAGTAGCGATGATGATAAAAAAATGGTTGGTATAGATGGTAATTATTGCGATGTTCCATTTTATATATATATTTTCTATTACATATGTTAATTGATTTTATGATAATATAGAAGAGGCAGTGCTATAGAGGAAGATTTGGATTAAAAACATCGAATCCATCTTTTCCACTAATTTAGGCCAGCCAATTATTCTGAATGATAACTCAAATTCAGATATATTATCCTTTCCACCAAATAATTAATGCAGTTTTCTTGTTCTCTCGATTTCTTTCAATTTACATGACTAGATATGACGTGCGAGCAACATTATCCGAAATAACACCATATGAATCATCATCAAATAGTTATATCAATCGATTAGATGGCTTATCTCCTGCAGAACAACAAGCAGAACTTTTGGCTGAAGAGGAACGATACTATAGTCTCTACAAAAATGAGGTTGAAGAGGAAATGTACAAGGGTAAGTGTTTAATTAACTCAATTACAAATTGTACCTGCTCATACCTAGTTTTGTTTATTATATTATTTTTACAGAGGAACTGGAAAAACGACAGGCAACAGCAGGATATAATCAAGTTGAATTCAGTTATGATGAAGTTAAGGAAATTGGACCAAAAGAGTCGTCAGACGTGACACAAGAAGAGAATGAGGAAAGTGACGATACACCGTTTATGCCAGGCGAGAATCTGAATTTACCGAGTGACATGGAATATCCAAATACAGTAAAATTAAATCAAATCATCGAAAAGACTGCTAAATTTATATCATCGCAAGGTCCACAAATGGAAATTCTTTTAAAGACAAAACAGTCATCAAATCCACAATTTGAATTTCTCAATCATAATGGACAGTATAATGCATACTACAAGCACATATTATCGATGATTAAAAGTAATACATATCCATGGCAGCATAGTAAAATAAATAATGAGAACAGCATGGATGATAATTCAAATACAAATGACTCGAAATTCGATACCGAAGAGGTGGCAACAACATCGACAATAATTATACCAAAAATGCAGTTCAAACCATCTGCAGATTGTGCTTATACACAACTCATTAGTAAAATAACAAAAGCACCAATCTCAGAATTGGAAAGGAAGCAAGTAGAAGAAGAGAAAAGGCAACAAATTGTCACAAATTCAGAACCATCAAAAATAATTGGTGGATCACTAAGTCTTGTAGCTAGTTACAATTCAGACAGTGAAACAGATAATGAAGAAGACGAGAATGAAGCAGAAGAATATAAAGGTCCAATTCCGCCATCAGAAATTCAAATTGTAATCGATAAGACTGCAACATATGTCGCAAAAAATGGACCTGAATTTGAACAAAAATTGATTTTTAAACAAGATCCAAGATTTCAGTTTCTGCATGAGAATAATGAATATAATTTGTATTATAAGATGAAAGTAAAGAGTTTTCAACCATCTAATAGCATTAACGCAGTGCCTCAAGCAGCATCAAGCACAAAAGTCATTGAAGCACCGAAAAAAGAGGAAATTGTTCTTCCAAAACCCCCTCCAGCGCCTGTTTCATTTTCGATAAAAACAAAGGATGAACGACCGCCATTAAAGTCAACGAGTATGCAAAATAGCGACGATGAAAGTAAAGAGAATTGTCATAATGTTCCTCAAGCGCCAAGTCCGCCTCAAATAACGACGAGCATCGAAGAAGAACTCGAACGACAAGTTGATATTATAGCCACAGAACGTGAGGAGAAGCTTGCAAAAGAGAGACTAAATGATAAATTATTAAATGCAGCACGAGAAAAATTGGGAATGCTGCCGAAGGAAAAAATGTTGCAAATTGAACGGAAAAAGAAAGCAATGATGTTCATCAATCAAATTAAAGGTAGGGGATTGTCGATAAATAGCTATAGATAGACCTTTTTTTGCTGCTTTGCTTCTATTATTTTTATTCTAAACATTCTTTAATCATTTAGGCTCTAATGGCAGTTCAAATGGTAGTGGAAATAAGAGGGAGGATGATGTCATAAATCTCACGCATTGTGGCGAGGATTCAAATGATTCTGCTTCTGTTAAGTCGGAGAAATCAAGATCTAGGTATTACTTTTATGCTTTTACTGCTTTCAATTCTCATGAAAAGATTACTTTCAACGGTTAAATTTTGTCAAGTTCAAAATTTTGAACTTGAAATTCAAATATTAATTGACTGTTCTATTTAAAAAAACTTAACTCATCTTTACAGGAAAAATTCATCATCGCGAAGTTCCAGATCTACATCTCGCTCATCAAGAAGCAGCGATTCATCGCCAAAAAGGAAACGTTCTAAGAAAAAGTCTCATAGGAAAAGGAAGTATCGAAGAAGTAGAAGTCGAAGCAGATCACCTGGACGATATAAGCACTCAAAGAGATGGTAGATTTGTTTTGGTCCGAGAATCTTATTAATGATTAAGTATGAAAAATAAAGTTTTTTTAAAAAGAACATTACCCTGTTTTTTCGTTATAAGCTACTACTCGTTACTAAGCTACTAGCTTAGTAAAGTTTTTTTGAACTTGAAAATTTTTTGTAATCTTTACTAAGCTACTACCAAAAATAAAGTTTAATTAATCTTTTTCAACTTTCTAAGTATCAGTTTCAATGCTTTATGACATTGTCAATGAAATGAAATCGAGAAGATAGCAAAATTTCTTTAATTAAGTTAAAAAATTCAACATTTTCATTGAAGTTCAATTTCTTTACTAAGCTACTACTGCTTACTAAGCTACTAGTGATCCAAAAAAATCACTTTTTTATTCTTCTAAGCTACTAGCTTATAACGAAAAAACAGGGTACATTTATTAATTAACTAGGCTATCCGGAGGCGCCCGTGGCGCCTCTTTTCAGGGTTAAAATTTGATTACTATTATTTAAATAACTGTAAGACGCAAATAACCATAATGTTTTTAAGGTCAATCCTACCACAAAACTTCACATGGCCTCACAAACCCCCTCAAACTCGGACCCCCTTAATCCCTGAAAAATTTTATAAATCGCTTCACAAAACTTCACAGGGCTTCACATACCCCTTCGAACTCGAACCCCCTTAATCCCACTAAAACTTTATAAATGGCTTCACAAACTCCCTCAAACTCAGACTTCCTTAATCCCGCAAAAACTTTATAAATAGCTTCACAAAACTTCACATGGCTTCACAAACCTCCTCAAACTCGGACTTAATCCCACAAAAATTTTATAAATGTCTTCACAAACCCCCTCAAACTCGGACCCCCTTAATCCCACTAAATTTTTAATTCCTCCGAAACCCACAATGTCTTTTCACAAAGCTTCGCATGGCTTCACAAAACTTCACATGGCTTCACAAAATTTTATATGACTTCACAAAATATTCCTGACACCAAACTTTTCCCACAAACCCCCTCAAACTTGGACCACCCCAATTGACACCCACCTTGTCAGCACTCCTCAAATCATTGGCTTCACAAAATATACCTGACACTCCCCTTGCCCCAATCCCCACCTGACACCCACTTTGTCAGCACCCCTCAAATCATTGGCTTCACAAAATATACCTGACACCCCCCTTGTCCCCACCTGACACCCACTTTGCCCCCCCCCCCCCCCCCCCCCCACACACACATACACACACACACACAACTGACACCCACCTTGTCAGCACTCCTCCAATCATTGGCTTCACACGGCTTCACAAAATATATCGACACCCACCTATTACTCAATGCTTTGGACTTATCAACATGCTTTTCCACGTCAATCAATGCGTTGTTCACAACTCGCCACGTCTTGACACTGCATGCATTTTCCTTCAAATTTTTTTTTAAACTTCATTTAAAAAGCTTTTAACGTTTGTTTGTTTGATACAGACGAATCTCATTGACTGGATAATTTCTCTTGTTTAAAAAATTTGAGGCGTATTCCTCAGTAATTTTTTTAAAAATATGTTTCGTCGGTCAACGAAGAAGGCCAATGGATCCTCTTTGGAAATAAATTCCAACTTAATTTGAATTTCCATGCCAAGTCTCTTCATCTGACTGCTCAACTTCATGCTCGTCATCCCCTGATTCGTGCCCGTCATCACCTGATTCGTTTTCGTCATCGGTGCTTGAAAAATTGTAACAAAATGTTACAAATGGGGGGGGGGGGGGGTGTCAAGAAGTATGTAACGTTCTAATTGTCATCGGTCAGTTGTCATTTTTTAAATTTTACACCGTTTTAATGATTTATGAAAAATTATCAAAATAAAATAAATTATGAACGTTCATGGGGGGGGGGGGGGGTTCTGAGTTGTAACAAAAGGGGGGAGGGGGGTGAAAAAAGTCGTTTTTTTGCGTAACGTAATAAGTGGTTCAAATATAATATTTGGTTCAAAACTTCAAAATTATTTCTGACGTTTAAAAAAATCTGAATCTTTAAAAACCGTTATATAAGTATTTTTTTATATAATTTAACGGTTTTTTGAAATTCAAACGATTCAATGGTTCTAAAAAAGATGTTTTAAGGTTTTAGAATGAGTAGACTGTATTTCAATGACTATTTCGAACAGTGGTACAATTGCAACTAAAATCAAACTAATTTTACAATATTTTCAAAAATATCTGCGATCATTTCTTTCTTAATAATAAAATGTTGATTCACCATGCAACAAACTGCCACCTCGACTTATGATGAATAACAAAGACTTCACATCTTGATGATGATTCGTTGATAGTTTTGATAACAAATATCTTGAAAGACAATTCGTTGTAGTGTAGTCCCTAACAGAATAGTTCTGTCCTGTTAGAACTTGAAGTTAAATGCAAATAGAATAATTCTGTTCTATTGCATTTAGTTTGAGTGTCTTATAGAATAATTCTGTTCTATTAGATGGAGCTAGATGTTAATAATCTAAAGCCAATGACGTAGAAGCTACCAGAATGATTCTGTCCTGATAGATCTTGAGATATACTAATAGAATGATTCTGTTCTATCAGTACTTGAATATTGAAGATGCTAACAAAATGATTCTGTTTGTTCTATTAGTGCCTATTGAGAATCTGCAGAATAATTCTGTTCTGCCAGATATGATTCGGAAGAGATGAGTTTGATTGCAAAACTTGAATGGTCGTCCAAGTATTGCTAGAGATGAGATGAGATAAAATTAACTTGAATGTTGATCCAAGCTTGTTAAGACGACTTGAGCATGATAAAACTTGATTTCTTAATTCATACTCTCAATACTATGAGAGAGTTCTGCCCTCTCGACAAAAATTTATGTTTGAGTTGCTTCTTGCGAATTTAATATAGAATTTGAGTTGTTGCTATGCAAGCTTGTATGATGATTCTCTTCACAAACTTTACACCTTGAATTACTATTGCAATCTTGCTTGCTGTGTCCAGGTCTAAGACAGTTCATACACAATTTGTATTTTGAAGCTATTTTGAGTCTTCCTTCTTGATTTTCTTTTCTGAATATTTCGCACTGATAGACTCGATGACTACTAGAGCACAATTTGCACATTCTTGTTTACTACGAGTGATGTCTTACTTGACTGTGATGTGATACTTTCATCAGATAACGATTTGAACAATCCAAAAAAATTCCCTTCTCGATAAGTGAATGCCAATGATTTTATATGTTGATCCATGAATTTACAGAAAGCAGTCCAACTTGGCTTTTCATCACTACTGTCAATATGGATATCCCATTCTCTCATGAGATTTTTATTAAAACGATTCCTGACAAATTGTTCAAAAATCATGTCCAATAATTCTTCTGGTGTAACTTTCATCAAATTGAATGCTGCACGATGACTGATGTAAGTATCTAGGACTCTCCTTGCTTCTGATAAGGAACCATCAATAGGACCACTAATTGTCATAAAAGAATTTGTATATTGCATCAACAAAACTCTTCGATCGTCAAATCTTCGACATAACGCTTCCCAGGCAGATTTGTAATTGTCTCCTGAGAATTGATAGTTGTTCAATATATTTTGAGATTCTGGCTGAATGTTCACTGATGACTTCAAGTAATGGAATTTGTCAATGTCTGAATACATTGGGCTTGAATGTATCAAGGAGATATAAGTATCTTTAAAAGATATCCAATTGCTAAATTCTCCATTGAATTCTGGAAGTTTTATTTCAGGAAGTTTCACTCTTCTTGTTGATGATGTCGATGGTTGAATTGCGTTTACTTTGATTTCTAAACGTCTCTCTTGCTCTTTCTTCAGAGTTTCTATCTTTACTGCTAACTCAAATGTTGTAATAACTGCAAGATTCTTGAACAAAGTAAACTTCTGAGTTTCAACATCATTTTCTCGTTTTCGATGTAACAGTTCAAATTCAATGAACACTTCGTTGAATTCATCTAACATGTCTTTGAACACATCATGATACACTTTTGCTTCTTCAAAATTTGTTTCTTCCTTTAACATGTCATAAGTGCTTTTTATGCTTTCAAAATCTTCGATTATTGAATTCAGCTTTGCTTTCTTTCCTTCATATGTATTCATTATTGCTTATTCTTGTTGAACTTTGCTTCAACAAATCTGCCAGCTTCAACTTGAACTTTCTTCAAAATTAAACTAATTTTACAATATTTTCAAAAATATCTGCGATCATTTCTTTCTTAATAATAAAATGTTGATTCACCATGCAACAGGTTCTTAAAATTATATATACCTATATCTAAATTAAAGATTTATTGTGTTAATAGATTTGAACTCGTACACACAGTTGAATAAATTTGAGCATAATTTGGAAAAAAAGCAACTATTTTTCATTCCACAAGATATTTAATTACAGCTAGTTTTAAATTGGCTCAAAAATGTCCTTAACACTAGATACTTTTCACTATACTTAACTTAAATAAAGTAAACAACTTACGTGACATCAAATAAAAAGCCAGAAATCGAAAACCCATGAAAAGCCATCTTCGATATATTTTCATTATTTCCGATTAACTTCTCAATTATTGAAAAAAAAGATAAAAAATTAATTAAAAAGCTTCTAATCACAAAGAATTACATATAATACATACTCTTTAATGTCCACTTAAGATTTTTCCACAAATTTTTAACCATAATATGACTTATAATGATAAGAATGTTTCTTCACGTTTCACAATTTCTCTTAAACTGATCCAGTGTCAACAAAGTACTAGTTTATTAGGTTTCTTCATCTTATTTACTTTTCAAACTGCATGAACAGGATATTAATTTTATGGTGTTTTCACAAAATGATTATTGTCATAAAAAAAGCAAAGCAAAAACAGATAAATTATCAAAAACTTCAGTACGAAACACTATTTCAAGCTTCATTTGAAGCATCAATCTCATCAAAACAAATTTACTTGTAAGGAGCTTGCATTCATTTTTCTTTTTCTTAAAAGTTGATTAACTTATAAAAATGAACTTTTTGACACTCACATGCTTTTAACGTTAAATAATCTCATATTCGTAAATTATCTTTGAAAGTAGTAAAATATTTGAAAAGATTTGCATGACTTTATTTTTATGATTTTATGGAAATGAGAAAATGCATTAGAGATTTGACTGCTTACCTATTTAACTTTTAATATTATCAAAGTTTACTAACGCTTCAAAATTGAACACAAGCGACTATTTGAATTTTAAAATTATTGAACTTTTAAATTTTATATAAAAAATTCGTAAAATTTTCAAATTAAAAAAATGCGTTATTATCAATAAAAATTCATTTTTGAACATAAAATACAAAACGCAGAATCTCCTTCACCTTTTCACACTAAAAACATTCAGCAAAACTTTTCTTAGCCATAAAATATCACTTGACACATTACAACTTGCTTAATTATGGTTCTTCTGGGATGTGCAATTTTTTGCTGCTCTGGTACTAAAAGAAACATTAGACAAACTTTAATAAATTAATCTGCAAAAAAATTTTTGGTGTGGTTATGTATATGATGAACATTTTCATATGTGTAAGTTCAATCGTCTGGAACACACAAAGTGAAATTCAACAAATTCTTTTTAATCCTTTGATAGCTTTAATGAAAATAATTCGTTTAATTTCTGATGGAAGTTTGTCCATACTGATTCATAAAATGGAAATGAATTCAATTATTGAATCGTCGAATGGAAATTTGATTGAAATAGTCAAAATTGAATTTGTTTATGAATTGAAATTCTTTTTGATTTACTAGCTTCAGTTTTTTATGGATTTATTACTATGCCCTCGAGAAACACCCCAAATTAAAAAATGAGGCAAAGATTAAATATTTATCGCCATAAATAAATCACGTATATTCTTTGTTTTTATTTTGGTTGATTACAGAACATAATTAAAGTCATTACAGCTAAAAATATTTTAATTTGTTTGTCTTTAAGAAAAAGATTATAAACAAAATTTATTTTTCTGATTTGGGGACATCCAAAAATGATGGCTTAAAAATAAACCATAGCTTTCAACTTACAACCAAAACTAATGTAATTTTTAAAAATATTCAAAGCTCCAGCTGAACGTCATTTATGAATGCCTTACGAACCACTTCGACACAGCTGATATAACCAGTAAAAGTCAACAACAATTTAGATTCTCTGAATGCTAAGTTATAATTTGATAAGGATTAATTATCAGTTCGCAGCATGATGCCGCACGTGAGACGTAAAAACTCCAAATGGAAACTTTTATATTAATGATATCATTAGCACTTATACGCTGCACTTCCGAAAAGATCAAATGTCAATATATTGATAGGCTGGGGGCTTGATAATGCCTCAAAATACATTCATAATCTTACAAGATGAGCACAGAGCATATAAAAAACATCACAGTTAATTCACGTCTAAGTCAGTGTGATTTGTGTTGTGGAAGGAGATAGAACTGAAGTTCAGAAATACTTAAATTCAAAATTATTGCATAAAATAAAGACCTTCATCAATATGAGATTAATTGTGAAGGAAGTAAGTGAATTAAATATAATTTTTGTAGTTATTCCGATTAATGGAATTAAAATATAAAAAAAGTTGCCTATCTAATAAATTTAGGAGAATTATGAAGACTTAGAAATTAAAATCTCGTAAACCGTATTTTATTACAGCACCCAAAAGTGATAGATCCCTCAGAATTACTAAGGTAGGATTATAATTTTTCATCTCTTCACCGGATTCTTATTCTATTATGAACGTATTTTTGTGGAATTGGATGTGATTGTTATTCATTTTGTCGTGTTTAATTTAAAGATCTAAAGATTAATTGTTCATGAATTTATATTGAATTTGAAAAACCGTTAAAAATTAATGAGCGATAAAATTTTGAATTTGATTTTTAATTTAGTTTTTGATTTTAAAGTTTGAAGCTTCTTATTTTTTAACAAAAATTCAAGAAAAAAACGTTTATTCAAAAAGATCTCTTTTTCCAAATTTCCCATTAAAACCCTATATTAATCAATCTAGACCTGAGCCAGAGTTTGCACAGAAGAGTATATCAAAGTTCAGAGACTATACGATAGACGAAAATGATCCATTAAAGGAACAAGTGCGATATACTTACAGATTAATGCATAAAAATCAGACAGTTGATTTTGTTAAGAGTAAGTATAAATTAAATAGAACATGTGCTTAATTTATGAGAGTTTATGAAGTATATACTATGCGATATGAACTATAAAAATTTATATGACAAAATCCGATTTATGTCATAAGAAAAAAAGTTTTTTTTCCATACCCCCATTTTCTATAAAAGTTTTAATGTACACTCGAGTGGAAGAGCATATCAATGTAGTTTTTTGTTGTTGTCTCATTCATATTTAATCTCTTCGATTTTTCAAAATAAATATAAATATAAACAAGAAGCACTTTAAATAAAGGCGTCATTATTTGCGTCAACAGATTCGAAAGCTTGAAAACAAACAAAGATGATGATAATGAGGATGCATGCTTGCTATTGCACTCCTTCGTTATGGCATAAAATTTTAATTTATTCTTGAATAACGGCCATTTAAAATTTGAATGTTAAAAACCGTTTATTATTTAAACTCTACAAAACCGTTGAAAACTCCTTTGATTTTAATCATTAAAATACAGTTCCATGCTGAATATTAATACATTTATTATTCCCAACACAGAGTGCCATAATAATTGGTTAGAATTCGATCATGCAAGCATGACAGTACGAGAAGCTTTGGAGAAGCTTAACGATTTAGTCGATGAAAGTGACCCAGACAATGATTTACCAAATATCGTTCATGCATTTCAAACGGCTGAGCGAGCACGTGTAGAATTTCCTGAACACGACTGGCTGCATTTGACTGGATTGATTCATGATCTAGGAAAGATTATGGCATTTTATGGCGAACCACAATGGGCTGTTGTTGGCGATACATTTGTTGTCGGATGCAAATGGACGGAAAATATTGTCTATCGAGATGAGAGCTTTAACGAAAATCCTGATGGAAATAATCCCAAATACAATACAAAATATGGCATGTACAGTCCGAATACTGGACTTGAAAACTTAATGATGAGTTGGGGTCATGATGAATACATGTACAGAGTTTTAAAGCATAACAATTCTGCATTGCCTGAACAAGCACTCAATATCATTCGTTATCATTCCTTCTATCCGTGGCATACATCCAATGACTATGAACATTTAATGAAACCCGAAGACGACGAAACTAAACAATGGGTTTTAAGATTCAAGTAAGTTTTTCACAATTCAATTTTCTCTCTTCATGAAGTGCAAGTGCTGCAGCAGCAAAAAAAAAATGTTATCTAGCACTTCTAAAATTCATATTGTCTTTGAGGAGGAGATGCGGGGTGGCATGAAACTGCATCAAGTTGTCTTTTGTAAGCTTTTGAGCTTCGCTTTTTCTTTAGGAGGTATTTAGGAGCTAATAAATTTAAAGTTGTTAGAGAACTAGAGGAATTTTTGTGGTTGGTGTGATGCTTCATCATCTTATTAGTGGTTAAGAAGTTTATGTTGTTTAGAGAGTGCTTGATAATTGTGAGAAATTGAAGGTGGGAGATGTTATCTGTTACTTATTTTGTAATTGTAATTTTGATTGATGAAAAAATCAGACTGAGCTATTACAAGATTGACTAATCACCGTTTTTCTGGATATTTTTGGTATTACTAGCTACTAGCATTTAGAAAAATCTCTACGAACCATCCCCAGATACCAAAAAGCACTCTTTCCATCAACGATCAATAAATAATTTTCTATTAAACTTCCTTTTTTTACAGTCGATATGATTTATACACAAAATCTTCAATCATCCCTGACCTAGATGCTCTCTGGCCATACTATCAGAGTTTGATTGATAAATACATCCCGGGAATCATAGAATGGTAGACAAGGAACTCGATACAGCAACGATATTCTTTGAATTGTAACATTTGGCTCGTAACATCCATTAATTTACTGCTTTCTGTCTTATATTAAATAAAAAACAATAAAAAAGTTAATTGAGCGTGGGCATTTTGATAATTTTTGTAATTATGTCACAGACTTTCATAATGAAAAATATTTTTTTCTGTACATAGGGATTACATCGAAGATGCTTTTAAGTAATGAAGGCGAAATGAAAGAATAGAAAGGAAAATTTAATCAATTTGTGCTTTCCAACTTTGTTCTCCTCTTTCTTTCCATTAAATAATTCTTGTTAAAAAGTCCTTAAGCTTCTTTTAGTTTAGTTCTATTTACCCCTCAATGCCTTTCACTTCATGAATTTTAAATTGATCATTACTTTTTTTGTGATTTACACAAAAGAATATACAAATGAAAACTTTTACGTCTTGTCATTTGATAAAGTCTGTCTGTTAAGTTAATTACTTTTACCACAAAGTGCCACACAGCAATTATTCTGGTCATGATTGTAATTATTAATGATTCGAACTTCCGCTTACAATTGAACTGATATGAACAGCGTTGCTTCCTTTATGCTACCGGATAGTGCTTTTTAAGTATTTATATTAAGTATAGAGCATTTTGGAGGTCTTCGTGCAAAGCTATCGTTAGGATGTCGTTTATGTTTTTACTTACTAAGAACTGTTGAACATTTAATAACGGGTTTGAAATTTTTGAATTTTAACGGATTTTAAACGTTTGAATATTTTTGAACTTTGACGAAAACTTGAAGCTTTTTTGTATTCAAAGCTTTAGAACTTGACAAAATTTAAGCACATCCCAACTCTGCTTGCAAAAACATAAGAATTCCTTCTTAATAGAATCCCTCAGGCTCAATCTTTGAACTATTTCGAGTAAAACAGACTGAAAAAATTTAAATATTTTCATCATTATACTCCCTTAAAGTTTTTCAATTTTCTAAAAGGATATAAATTTCATATTCAGCATGCTGAATGAATGTTAATTCTTTTTTTTTCTCCTTAGATTCGTTTTATTGCTTTCATTTAACATTCGATTTATTTTCATTTTAGCAATACCCAACGACAATATTTCTAGTATAAAAATGCAAAAATAGAGATAAAGGATTAAAAAAATTGGGTAGAAGGACATTTAAATAAATTTCTCTCTTAAATTAATCTCTTTTCCGCTCGTTTTTGTGGACGACTTTCCCTATAACTGTTGAATTCAATCACAAACTGTTAATGCATATTAAGTAATTTCATGGGAATATCTTTTTTTAAGGTCACACATTTGTAAGCTTCTAGAAGGAAAGAAATCAATGTCGAACCCTTTTCACAAAGTCGGATAAAAGTGGGTGGAATGAAATCAAGAAATGAAAATTTCTAATCGAGATCCGTTTAGCTTATCAGCTTCATTGAGGAATCATGTTGCCAATTCAATATAATCAGATACATTTTAATCTATAGATTTATACAAAAAATTTATTGCGTGAGTGTTTAAGATATAATTTGAGGAATTGATTTTTAGATTTTCAGCATGAAAGTGACATTTTTTGGATTAGATAAATTTTATTCACATAATGATGATTCATTTATTGATGGGAAATTTAATTGAGTCTTTATTTTGAATAACAGATCAACTAACCTCAGATTGAATCAACTTATGTTGTCTTCGTCAGAATGTGGAGCCTCTCATTCAAACTCCCATTTCAGTAATTATAAGACTCGCAACTCGCTCCAATTGATCAAAATTAACTGCAATAAACAACTCTACAGATCTACAGAACATCAGATGAGAAAAAAAATCATACAAAAGAACTCAATTTCATCACGAATTCACATCCAATAATCTTGATGTACATATCGCTTGAATAGTTCCATTATGTTCAATAGAATCCTCTCATTTTCACAGTTTGAACTGCACACCGTAATTGTACTCAATAATTGAAAATCAAATGTAGTTCAAACTGCAATCAATGACAAGTTGTTGCAATGGATGAAGGTAGGAAAAGGAAGTGAAATCGATGAATCTGGACAATAAATAACAGAATATGATACCATTGTACACAAATATCCATTTTTGGGTACAAACAACAATCATAGCATTTGACATTTTAACTTTTAAAGAAGCGGAAGCACAAATTGAAACTTTGTATGATAACATTCAAGCAATTGGAGATCGTCAGACTCAAAAATCAACAGACTTTGTTTTATTTAGCGCCAATATGCCGCAGGCAAAGACAGCAATATTTTTTCTATGATGTTGTCACTAGCTGCTTTTTGTTATCATTTTATTTTCTCAGAATGAATTGTTCTAAATTTATAAATGGATATTAGTTTTATCAATTTGTCTAGAAAATGCTATCAATTTGAAACTTTTTATTGGACATCTGACCTGGTTTCAGAATTCTGTTTGAAGTTTGTAAGCAGTGTTGGAAGTATATATACCGATCTTGTTGAATGGGAGAAAATAAAAGATTTCTCAATTGAGTATCAAACTTAAAAGCTCTTCTAAATTGTTTAGAATTTTAAAGTTTAGATACTAGATTGCAACCCTGTGTGTAAGAACAGAAAGACTAGGTAAACCCTTACAATGAAAAATGTATTAGATTTCATTCAAATAATCATGATAAATGGAATCGCAGATTTTTTTTTTTTCAAAAAAAAGTATAAGAATTATTACACGTGTTCCTAGATATTTCATAACATGTTTGCAAAAAAGCTACTAACATATACAATAATGTACGAAAGTAAGTCCTAGAAAATTCATATTCTGAAGAAAGAAAAAGAAAAAAAGTAAAAATATTACCAAAACGATTGTTTGAAGCACAGCAGAAAATTTAGCAGCATGTGGGAATCATGTATTTTGTTCCCATTTTCAAACTCACATATATTCTTTTTCGAATCATAATAAAATGCTAGAATTTAGAGATGTAAGTATGTAAAATTTTATGAACACAACATAGCAGGTATGAAAGGAACATCACGAGAAATTTATTCAACTATTTTTCATATATGAGTTTTATGCTGAAAGCGATAGAGGATACCAATTTCGGGTAGTGACAATTCCATTGACACAATATGTGTTAAGGAACTCTAAATCCCCTTCGTACTTGAATTTATTGTTGAGATAAAAAGTTATGTCGTTAGATAAAAAGAATTAAAAATTTAAATTCCTTCAAACTATTCCCAATACTTTATGTCTTCATTCCAATTTTGTGAAGCTTTTACTGTTTGTGGGTATGGATTATATTGTTTTGCAAATATTTGAGAAATTTAATCAAATGAAAGTTCAATATTTTCCACAAAAACATATTTTTGAAATACTTTTAAAATTAAAATAATAGAATTTGTATTTGTAAAGAGAAAGGAACCGATCTAAGAAGTCATTTGAATATTCCGTAACTCTATGGGGGGTGGGAGCTCCTTATAATGTACTATAAAGTTCAATTAGAAAACTATTTATCCTCATACTTGACATAACATTTGAAAACTTCCCAAGAGGTAAGCTGTTCGTATTTCAAGCTATATGAATTTACCATTCGTACACACAATATGCCGCATGAGATGCCAAATGTATGGAAGGATTTTCCTTCATTTCTTTTAAATCAGATACGCTTTCTTATTCATTTTGTCTTTTCTTTACTGGAAGGTAAATCCTTCTTTTATCATGTGATGCAATGCTATCCAAAAATCCTATTTGAATTGAAAAATTTGTCTTACAGTTTTTTTGAGGTTATGGTGGATAGAGTTATGAATGCAAATATATTTCGATTCCGGATGTTCTAGATTCAATTGTTGCCATGCTGTTGATAAAGAATCGATAAAAATATTTTTAAAAAGATGACACAGCTAAATTTAAATTGCAAAAAACTTTTCGAGGTGGAAGGGAAAATTTGCAATTCATTTTTTTTAAAGGGCAGAAAGCTATGACTGGAATTGATCAAGCTGTTTTGGTCTTTCGTTTATTAGATAGCTTAATCTAGAAGATATTTTAACTTAATGAAGTTTGATTTGTAAAATACTTCGTTTAGCATGTTTTTCTGATAGTTTGCGCTTCTACTTCTATTTTTAGACTACTTAGTTCCTTCTACAAATAAAAATCTACATAAAGAACCAGAAAGTATCCTCCTGTGAGGTTTAAATCACTTATAAAGACGCATTTGATTGAATCCATTTCCTCAAACACAAATAAACTCATTTCCATTGTTTTCTGTCTCTATTATGTGCCATATAGAAACTTATTTCTTTTATGAAAAGCTTTAAAAGGGTTGAAAAATTTAATGATAGTGAATTTGATTTGATTTCACAAACAAAGTGTTTACAACTAAGGCAAAGAGAAGAAAAGAGAAGAGAAGAGGAAATGATTGAATTTTTATTTACAGTTTGAGTAACTTATTCTCACAACTTGATCCTAATGACTCCTCTTCTACATTAGCTTTGATACAAAATAAACAGAAAGTAATTTATCATAAGAAAAAGTTGTGGAAATCTGAAAAATTTATTATCATATTATCTGCAGAAGTTTGACTAAAGTTTACTACCCTCAAACCGGTAGAACTTTCCTTTTACTTTCATATATCATCACGCCATCCTTGACCTCACCTTTCTCACACATATTGAAAAGGGTTCATATTTCTATCGAATTCTATTCCATTCATTCCTTTATATTACTCTTTTTTTTTCAACTAAAAACCGAGCTAAATTGAAAGAGCATTTTTGAATTCTCTTGTTGTTCCACAATCCATTTCCATTATATATTATTGGGCACATGCAAGTTGGATGGCGAAGGAATTGAAAAACTAGTAAAATGACGGTCATTTTATGAGTGATGAAGACGCATTCATCTGACTTAGATTTGAAGAAGTTTAACTTACATTTCTAGTCATCATCTGACGCTTATACTTACTAAGTTTGTTGATGTAGGTCATTTTAAACTTATACTTGAGTTTTGACTAGTTTCAGCATCAATAAATACCGATCAAGAACAAACTAAGCTATTCTTCATCCTCAAAAATGAACGGACAAGATGCAGACAACATTAAACATCTCTTCAGAAAAGGTTCCTCAAAAGTGGAGAAATGGGAACAGAATTATTTCTGTTTTTAAATTTAATGTAAATTCCATTTATCTCCGACAATTTTTTTAAGCACTCCGATGTGTTTTACATTGAATATGTACTTAAAAACAGCATAAGGAAAATGAACAGCTCAATAAAATGTAATTTAATGCTTTCGCGTTTCGTTGGAGGCGAGGAAATTGTTGAAACTATGGGATACCTCATTTCTTCAGTAAATTGGATTCAAGAGTACGGGTCAACATCACGATTTAATTAAATCGAAGAGCAGTTGAAAGCGAAATGGTTTTTTTTTTTTGGAATCTTTCGAGTGAAGAAATTTAGGTTGAAATTTATTGTAGGGTTCGCTTTTGGAGATTCGCATTTTGAAATAAATTCGAAAATTATTTATACAATTTTCCTCATTACTTTCTCTTACTGTCATTACTATTCATTCATTTGTTCTTAATGTTTACATTCGTAGCTCATACATTTAAGGATTATGGAAATGTCCTTAAGTAACAGGATGTTAATTAATCATTTCATTGTAATTGCCAAAGTAATATTGATGAGGAAATCGTATTGTACGTTCGAACAACATTCAGCCATTAGCACTAATGCTCACATTATGTTGTGAAATATGGCTTAGAAAGTGAAAAGGTAAAAATTCTAGGAATCATAAATAGAAGTTATGTTAATGAGTCTGATGATGAATTGTTTGGGAGTTCTTTAAATGATAGAGATGTCAAATATTTAAATTATAGGTATTTCTAGAGTTCCCGAATGTACATAAATCATGTAGGATGAGCGATGTTAATTAAATACTTTGTGTAAACTGTGACAATTAATGATATTAATTAATCCTGAGGACACAAAAGCGTACGAAATTAATATAATTATGACAACGTAATTATAAACTGCAATTGAATTCTATGTAGATGTGAAACTTCCTAGTTTAGCTTAATGTTGCTCATTTCTCTAAATGCTTCGATTTTGTTCAGATCTCGTTTAACTAGTTAACAATCATAGAATCAAATTTAAAGACTTTCGCTTTTACACAGCACCTAACCAAATAGTTTGATTTCAGAAATATCTAAGGAATTGCTGTAAATTTAGAAGAATCAACAAGAAACACAATTTAAGATTGATTACATTGCTGGAAGTGGTCAGTTTCCATGAATTTGTCATCCACAAAAAAGGCTGTCAATTTCACAAAACCATAAGTATGTAGGCTTCCGGCAATCTTTTGAAATCGAATATTTTCGATTATCGTAATGGAATCCGAGAAGAAGTAAAAATTCGCAAAAGATTGTCTATCGACTCAACACTTCCTACACAATTTTTCATGATTACCGGCAACAGCATCCTAGTTTACTAACCAAATACATTAAAGGAAATGATTTCGTTATGGATGCATTAGAATAATTTATTTTACATTCATCAACTTCTGGGGATTGAATATTTATGGCCGAGTTACATTAAGGACTTTCCAATTAAATAATTTTATTACTTTTTTCAACATTATTGAATTGAAATTAATGTTGAATATCAATTACAAATTAGTTCAAGAGCATCCGTACGTAAATAAGAAAAATACACATGGCATGGAACGAACGAAATTCCTCATTGGAAATCATCACTTCCAGTGCCATGGAACAAGGATATACACAGAAGAAACGACTTCACAACAGAGTCACATTTTTCCATTAGACGTTCGCGAATCGAAGTGAAAGGACGTATTTTGTGGATTGTGCATCGGTAATAAATATATACAATTTGAACGGAAACATTTAAATGAATATACAGACGTAATGTGACGAAGGAACAGAACGTGAAGAAAAAAAGTATCATAAAAAACTTTTTGCTTTCATAATCAAAACTTGTTGATGATTAAAAGTTGTTGTCACTTTCGTTCATTTGAGATTTATTATTCACATATAAAGGATTATACCTACATACATGTTATGTGATGATAAAAAAATGTGCAGCACAAAGGAATGATGAGAAAAAATTGCAATATTAATAAAAAGAAAAGTTTGTGTGTGAAAAATAAATGTTAATTTTCGGAGCATAATGGAAATGTTCCAAAGGAATCCATAAATGATTTATGCACTTGGTAATGAGTTATTTCATCTTAGACTTGAAGACTGTTGGTATGCAATTTGGGGTTATTATGTCTCTTGTTTGTGGAAAGAAAAACTTTTGTCAATTTTGAGGGTGGATGCATTCATGAATTGCAAAATGAATGACATTGTTTTCTTGTAATAATTTTACTTAACATTCTCATTTGAATTTTGAGTATGGATGAATAATTCTTGTGTCAATAAGGGATCGTTCGCTCTTTACGTCCTGACTTTAAGAGTGATTTGATAAACTAGATGGAAAGGAGTTGTTGTTAAAACTTGTTCTTTATATTATTTATTTATTTAATATCAAATCAAGAGGTAAGGTACGGAACTGGTTAATCATAAAGAGACCTTAAGCATAGATCAGTTACCAGCAAAAATAACATAATTTATGAATGAATCCATGTAAACCAATCTCAATTCAAATCCATTCAAGTTCTATCAAAATAATTTTAATTAAAATACAAGTTCATCAAAATCATTCAAAGAATCTTGAATAAACAGCCAATATCCAAAAATATCAACATCCATAACTCAAGAAGAGCTTATAATCAATTTGTTTTCGATTTGTTCATGCAAAACAAAATCATAATTATCAGCACGCCCACAAGATTACTTGTATTTCCTCAACATCATCGTTATTGTGCATTCAATAAGTAGAATCTCGTAGAATCAATAGAATATTTAGTAAGGCAGTATCTGTTGGTTTTCTGTTCCGGTTTTATAAGCAGTATTTATTAATTTACGTGCACCATTCATCACCTTCACATGTAATTCTGTGGATTATCATATGAAATAGCAAACAGTATCGTGTACACATTCATGCTATGTGGATAAAAGAACAAAGAAATAAAGCACAGATATTCCTGTACAGTTAGGAAAAAAGATGAAAAAGAAGAAGATTAAGCGATGAAAAAAGTTTGTATGAATATTTCATAAAGCATATCTTCAAGTAATATATTAAATTTACCACCCAAATTACCATAAACACAACAAAATTTTGCCTTTTTCTTCCCGTTAATTGACTTACAAGTCCTCATAATTTAATCAAACGATGGAGGAAATGTCAAAAAATGAAGAACACAATTTAAATAACCTTCAATATGTTAATTCAATCAGCATAATTTAATATTACTTACAAGCTCCTTCCTTCTTCTGCTTTTGTGAATTTGACAAGAGGAAATTCCTTGATAACATATTCTTTCCAATTTTCTCATTCTTCAGTTTGGGAAGTCTGCCAATTACGTTTTATAAAGTTACTTTTTAGAAAAAACTCAAAAAGTTTAGATTTGGAAAATCTCTAGCTGGGTTGAAGTAAGTGCGGTTTTGAGTGTAAGTGAAGAGGGTTTATGAGGTTGTTTACTAAGCTTTGAGTAATGGTCATCTTGTGACATAAATTCTAAACATCAAATTTCCGATCAACGTCATTTCCAAACGAATCCCCTCCTTAATTCTTCTTTTAATTCATTTTGTCTTTGACTTTTCAAAAAGAAAAGTTTTCCAACGACACGATTTATTAATTTTGTGATAAAGAAGCTCCTCTGTCTTTGTAATTTCGGTAATGGAATTTCTTTCTTATCATTCTTGTGTATTCTTGCGTCATGTAAGTCAAAGATAATGAAATTTTGGAGCAAAACCTTACAACAGTGTGTAATTGAGACTAACGTTTATGAGATTTGGTTGTGCTTTGAAGGATATTAATATGCTTGTGCTTTTTTTTCTGAGAAAGTTATATGTTAAGGATTATAGATTTTGTAATAAAAGGATCTTGTCTTTTAAGAATCTCATATAATATAGAATTATAAAGCATAGAATGTATATTGGCAATGATTAAACATAGAGTAACAGATGGAACTCATAGATTTAAATTAAATTGAACTAATGTATAATTTACAATTCAGGACTAGAAATCAAATATAATTGTATTTCAGTCTAGACAAGCAATAATAGAACAACACAATCTTATCTAAGATCATTTATAGCTAGCAAATTCACAACTACAATATAAAAAAAGTTTAAACAAAAATTAAAACAGACACGACAGGACTCAAGAGAATACACCCATCTGGCTTTGATTTTGAAAGCTGTTATCTTAAAAACATAATTGACATTGTTAAAAGTGTTGACACACCTTGAATTGTGTAAAGTTCCTCTTGTTGTAGACAAACTTTCTCGTTAAAATTTCCAAGAAGATCCGTCCATTCAATGTTCACAAAATTTTCATTGATTTCTTAAGAAAAGATTCAGGAAAAAAAAATCTCTGCAAGTTTCTCTATTTAGCATGGATGGGAAAACTAAAACTCATGAACTGCAATACAGCAGCAATGATAATCATAAGAACATTCAGGAGAAATGAAAATTTATTTTAACAACTTCACAATGCGATTGTTTCTCTGCTGAATATTTGGGAGTCGTGCAATTGTGATGTCGACTATTTAAGATGAAATAAATGCCAGGCAATGTTTAACACTCAAAATAGCTGAATACTCTTGCTGCTAAAAGTAGCCCAAATTTCAATGGTAGTCGTCAAAAACAAATAAACCCCAAATTGTAGAAGGAACAAAATGTTCCTGATTGTAGGAAAATGTATTATGAAGACTCTCGATTTATTCAAGTTGGATTTTTAATATGATACGAAAACTTTCGTTGCTCCATCTCAAATCACAATCATAAATGAGGAGAAAAAGAAGAAAAGTTTTTAAACCACCTTCCATAAAAGAAAATTTATTAACACTTAATAAGAAAAATGCGCCATCATCTTTTAAAAAAGTTGTCGAGGAACTTCCAACACTTCTTGTGTGTTTGAGGAAAATAAAAAGGGAAGGAAGATAACAAAACCAGAAAAGATGAAGGGAAAACTTTGTTGTTGTTGTTCGGGGCTACTTTATTTGGTGAAGAATTTGCATATTTTTTGTTGCAAAAATAATATTTTGTTCAGTGTTGTTATCTGACTAGTGTACTGTATTATTCTAAGTTAAACTTGTCTGCAAGATTGATGTCGACTAGCTCAGATTAGTTTAAATTTCCTACTAGTTCAAATTTCTTTATGAAAACTTGAAGTTGTTCTGTTCAAATCTTAACTTAAACTTTCTTAAAACACCGATTTAGAAATATTCTTAACGGAATGTTAAGATCTATAACAATTCAGATTTTCGGTATGTACTATTTTGAATAAACTTATTCAGCTGAGTTCTAGTCGATGAATTTCCCAGCTACGATATGATCTACATAACCAATTGTAATGTAAGGTAGTCCAAGCATTTAAGTTTACAACACTGTGAATATCCTCGTATTTTATTTCTTTTTAAAGTTGTAGCCTTTCTTAACTTCTTATTTTTATCTTGGATGTAATATGTTGAATATGTTTATCATTATTATTATCATGACGATGTGATATGTTACTGAATATTCTTTCCTTTCTTCTTTCAAATGTATTGCCTCTTTTTCTACTCATGTTTATGTTAAAATAACATGAATATTGCAAGATCCTTTTTGTTGGGATTTTTTAAGGCACCGGAAAACAAAGCGCATTTCCTCTTTCAAGAGAAGCTTGTTTTCAATTTATGAGAGGATAAAATGGGAAGTTGAAGTGCTTTTGTTAAGTAAAATATTTCCAATTCATATGAGAAGTTTAGGATTTTGTTGAAATCTGCAGCTTTAGATTCTCTCTAAAATAGATAGGCTTTGAATACATTCAAGTTTGCAGATTTGTGTGGTAATTTGAATTGAAATGAATGTTCAGCTCTCTGCTCATTAAAATCCTGTGATTATAAAGCTTTGCAGCTATGGCTTTCAAGTATGTTTAGTCAATGACATACATTCGGATTTATAGTGGTAAATTAGATGAGACAGGATTTGCTAGAATTTCTATTATTCCACAAAACAAATGAGATTTTAAAATCAGTGTTGCAGAGGAAAAGTTTAGGATCCTTCAACCTTAAATCCAATAAACTTGATATTCTGTTCATCAAAATAGAAAGTTTAAAGCAAAAATGTTCTCAATATTGTTCCCTGAAGCATTTATTTTGAGTGAAATTGATAGGCAGTTCAAGTCATGAAGACAGAGATGCCAAGTTATTTCCTGAACTGAAGTTTCAACAGATTAGTCATTTAAATTTTCTTTTAGGTTCATTTACTTGTGATATCTCAAATTTAGGTGAGAGACGGGAGGTTTTTAATATCTAAGTCTGACAATAATTTGAGGAATTAGCTCCTAACTGCTTACTGTTGATTTGCATTGATTGAACATTTTCTAACCTTAAAATATTGTGCAATATTAATTCTTTCTGTATTAAAAGGTTACGGAATTTTCTAAGATCCTTACTTTTAATTCCTTTAAAAAAATCAAATTCAGGCTTAGAAAAAAATTAAGTTATACCCACGGGACAAAGTATTATTCAGTATTATTGCATTTTCGGAAAATAAATTTTATAAATGGAGGAATCGTTTGAGGGAAGATAATGCTCTATAAAATAAAAATTGAAGAAATTTATTGTTTAAGAAACATCTATAAATGAAAATAAAATCTGAAGGACATTTTGCGACAGGAGAAACATTTAAAACATAGAAAAGTACATCATGAAAAATCATGCTAAAAACACCACATAGACACAGCATATATTCATTATATGAAGTACATCTAAAAGGAATAATGATGATGATGATGATGTTGAGAATATAAAGTACATTGTAGCTAAAAGATGTGATGTGCAAAAAAGGAGTATAAAGAAAGACGGCATGATTTTTATAAGAGAATGAATTGAAAATTTTCTATTTAAAAAAGAGTGTTTTCAATTGCAGTGTTAATAATTAATAGTCATTTACACAGTGAAGAAAATTTATGGTGATGATGATGAATATAAATGAGGACAAGTTTGAAAAGATTGCAAAGATGACGCTGGAATAAATCGAGGCTTGATGACAATGTGATTTTTTTTCGTGCGAAATTTATAATTTCTGTCTGATACAAAAAATGGACTGTAGAAGCAATAAATTATTAGATTTATGGATTTTTATAATATGCATACTAGGTAGGTGATTCATTCGCTATTTCATGTCGTACTCACTTGAAACAGGAGTGTAGAGTGAGGGAAATAATCCTTGTATTGTACATTGCTCGAATTCTATAAATTATAATGCAAAAAAAATTGTATAAAATATTCTCTCATTGTGCCAACATAATAATCTTGCATAGCTTGAACTAAAATAAAATTTTTCTCTCACTCCCTCACTTCCATAATTTATTTGTGACCAAAAAAATTTTTATGGAAACTCCGCAACATGAGCACACATAAATTTTAATAATTTTTCATTTATACAAATACAACCAATACGTTTTTGTTCTCTCCCTCCCTTCAGATATGACAAATGGTGGCTTTCAAAGTACATTAAATGAGAATTTCACAAGATCTACCGCGATTGACGAGTATCAGACCGCATCAACGACAGTGACACAAACTTCAATTATACATAAAATAAGTGTCACGTCAACTCCGACAAATTATGAGATCCTGTCCGATGATAAGAGCGGATTTAGTTTGACGCAACCAGCAATAATAAGTGAACCGTATTTCGATTCTCAAACGCCAAAGAACGTGACAGGACTTGTAGGTAAATTGATATGATATTGACTTGAATTTGTTACGACGAGCGAACGTTGTGAACATCGTAAATATCTCCCATTCACTCTTAATAGATAAGTGTGCAAAAACAATTTCACGTCGTTGACGGCAACAAGTTAATTAGTCATTTAATAAACTTTTCCGGTTTCCTTTTACTGACGCATTTTCACCTATTTACTTTTTCTACTTGTTTGATTGAATTTTGAATGAAAATTCTATCGGAAATTTTTCATTAAAAAGCTTCGTAGTTTCAGACCCTTCAAAAATATTTCCTCACTTCGAAAAGTTTTCCGCAATTTCCACAATAATTATACCACAAATCACATATTTAATCGATGATAATTCACCTACGGTATGGCAAGAGCATGAACGAACAAGTATCAAACCTCATAAATCATCTTTATCAATAAATTCAATCATATCAAATCCATACAAGCGAGACAAAATGAACATCGAACATATATAATCCACATAGAGCATATTGAGAAAAATTCATTAGAAGAATATCAACTTTCATTAATTCAGATTCCCCTAACCACTTGTCTTTTACCTACATATATACCTCGAAATATAATTTATCGATTTTCCCCAAGCAGTCGTTACTGCAAATAAAAATTTCTACTTTCCTCACATCTTATCTATTTCTGTGTTTCTATGCATGCTCTAGGGAAATCGGCATTTTTGAATTGTCGTGTCAAAAATTTAGGAAATAAAACTGTATCATGGATTCGACATCGTGATATACACATATTAACTGTTGGAAGCTATACGTATACAAGTGATCAAAGATTCCAAGCAACACATCATAAAGAGACTGATGATTGGACGCTGCAAATTAAATGGGCACAAAAAAGGGATAGTGGAGGTGAGGCATGAAATGAAAAATTCTCTTTGTACATGACCGCATTAAAAATGAACATTTTGTTACAGTTTATGAATGCCAAGTAAGCACACAGCCGGTTCACAGCTATTTTGTAAACTTGAACATTGTAGGTGAGTGTCTAAAATCATGTCATGTTAATTATCAACCGATTAAAGTAGTTCCGGATAATGTTTTAATTGGGTTAGCGAAACATATGTTTTGTATCACACAAGGCGTTATTTAATTAAAATTTATTCATGCCTAGAGAAGTTCTGACGCAAATGCTTTTTCCGTAAGGTTTTAAATTGTACGATACAAGGATGATGGAAAGCATCACAATTTATAATGTTAAATGATATTTCTGAATTTGAAACAAAACAAGATGCGTGAATTAGCCCGAGTAGCATAGAATCGAATTTAGGAAATATATTTTATGAGCTTGAGATATTTGAGGTTAGAAATTGGATGTGTGTTTGTATAACCAAGAGGATAGATGTAGCAGGATGATTTTCTAGAATTAGCAACAATTGAAAATATATTTCTAGAGAAGACTAAGATCAAACTTTAAACAGGAAGCTTCTACGAACATTTTATATATTCCAAGAATAAACCCTTAAACTATCTTCTCCAGATCATGTTTGAGTAATTCTTCTCAGAAATCAATTCATTTAAAATTCATCCAAGTTTTGGGTTGATAGGATTAGGAAGAATACAGAGATAGATTCAATATTAATTCTCAAAGAGGAAATTACTTCATTTGGGAATAATTTTCTTTATAAATAAAATGGGGTTTGTTCAGTTATGAGACTCGAACTTCCTTAAGCCGTGATTTAATTTTAAACTCATAATTGAATAAGTTCAAAGTAAATTTCTTATTGCCATGCCATGATCCGTGTGCTACTCGGGAAGACGCACTGATAAATCTCATTTTATCAGCTTAATTTAAGTGCTCATTTCAGAAAACAACGACATCTGAAATTAACCTTTTATAATAAATTAAATATAACACGAAAAATATTCGCATGTGAGGCAGACAGTAAATAGAAGAATTGCTGAACAGGGATCTCTTTAAAAAGAGATATTGTATACAAAATCGTGTGGAGCAAGCTGAGTGAATGATATGTGAAAATAAATACCCATGTGGGGGTTTGAAAGGAAAACTAGCATCACAATACAGGTTTAAAATTTCAATTTTCAGTCAATAGATAACCGACACCAGTTCAATATAGAATAACAAATTGGCAATTTGTATAGTATCGGATGCTTTTGATACCTCAAATGCTTTAAGCACAGAAGTGAATGCCGCATATAATCCTTAAAACCAGCACTGATAGCACACACACACAAAATGTATTCACATATTATTTCCATCAATTTTCAATAACTTTAAAAGCGTATTACTTTATTTGCGTTTAAGAATTCATGGGATGTGAACCACTTGTGATTCTGCAAATTGCCATGTTAAGCCATTCCATTAAAACTCTGTAATCGGTTGATGAGTAATGACATAAAGCTGTTGAATGTTTTATGTAAAAAACAAAAAATTTAATATATGAATTTGTCATCAAATATTGATAAAATAAAAAAAATTTGTCAGTTCCAACCGCAGCGATTCATGGTGCACCAGATTTACACTTTGATAAGGGTTCAACAATCAACTTGACATGTACAATAAAATTTAGCCCCGAGCCACCTGCATACATTTTTTGGTATCATCTCGACGAGGTAAATAATGAAAAAAAGATAAAATAAAATGCATGAATAAATCTCTCTAGAGTCACATCCATAACATTTAATATTTAATTTTTGAGTTATTATCGGTATGATGCAGTGGTTCTCAAACCTTTGTGACTGACTGTAACAACCCCATACCTCAATTTTTGGAATTAAAAACAATTTATCATAAAAATTATAAGATTTGTCGAAGTACCTCGACACACAGTTTGTGAACCACTGATAACAAATATCGAGTATGCAGTTATGACATTTTAATATTTTACATTGTTAATTTTCACAGGTAATTTCCTATGATTCAATGCGGGGAGGTGTGAGTGTAATTACTGAGAAAGGAGACATTACAATAAGCTACTTGCTCATTCAGAATGCTGATTTAGCAGACTCCGGACGTTACAGTTGCTCTCCATCCAACGCGGATGTTGCTAGTGTTCGTGTTCACGTTTTAAATGGTAACCAAACAATTGTGATAGTTGTTTATGCTTTACAGCACACTTCAAATCCTCTTATAAATGTGCTGCTTCACTCACGAACATGCTATAAATGTACATTCATGAAAAGAAACTGAAAACATTCTTATATTCCTGAGTTTTTCATTATTCCATCCCATTATTTTCATTGTTTCCGCGTGATTTGACTTTTATTAAACTTTTACCTCGTAAAAATTTGTAACTCTGTAGTTTTGTGATATTGCTTACCTCTCTCCTTTTTATTTATGGTTTCTATTAATATTCCTTAAGTTATTGCTCTGAGCAGGATTCCAAACGTTCCAAAAGTTCTATGAAACATATTTTAAGCATTTTTTTTGGTTAAACTTGTTATTTCCTTTCATTCTTTTAAATCTGTTGAGACATAAAAATCTTATTCTTGTCAAAGGGCCATTCACTTATTACGTAACGCTTTTAGGGGGGGAGGGGGGGTCTAAGATTTTGTTACGGTTCAAACAAGGAAATTTTTTTTTCATACAAATTTTGTTACGAGGGGGGGTGGGGTCTAAAAAGTCATTTTTTCGCGTTACGTAATAAGTGAACAGCCCCCAAGTTAATCCAAAGTTTTGTGGGAAAAAATTTGTAATAATCTGTTTATAGTCTTAAAAATCATAGAAGACAACCTTGGACTTGTTATGATAACATTATCATTGATTATAAAATGATAACAACTGATGACAACTTCTAAAGAAATTCTGTTAAAATTAGCTTATGATATTTCAAATAACTTTGTATTAGGAATTTTGGAGATAAAATTTTCTTGTTTTTGAAAATTCGAGTGAGCTTAAAAAGTTGTTGAAAGCACAAAAAACATATCAAGAAGAAATTTTATTTATAAATTGCTTATTGCCATTCAGGAAATTTAAATCTGAGCTTTCTTTGAGAGGCAAACAACAATAAGCTCAAAAGGGTGTGCTCCTATGTATCTTCTCTAAAGTTCTAGAGGTGTGAAACTAATAGGGTTGTTAAGCTTTGTATGATTTTGAGGTAAAAAAGCAAACCTTCTAGCTAATTTCGAGTTTAATTTTCCAAGAAAATGGGATTGAATTTTCGAAAAGAACAATCCATTAATATCAGCAATTATTTATTAAATTTGAGGAAAGAAAAAGAATTTCAGATTTGACCAAAAAATGACGGCGACAACAACAAAAAGCTTTACATTAATAACACATCTATCATTTTTTGAGCGAAAGCGTGTTATTTAAAAAAAAAAAAAGCTAAAATTATCATTTGAAAATTTTTTTATTTCCAAAACTCGTAAAATTTATGTTGTGAGTTGAAAACTGTGGAAATGCGAAGGAGAAAAAAGAAATTCCTTCAATGCCACATGATAATACAATATATTTTGATAAAAACATAAGAAATAAGCAGGAGAGATTTTGCGAGGATTATGAAAGAATCAACATTGTTGTCCTATATATATACATTTTAGTTCTTCTTTCCCTCCTCTTTGTCATTTCCATTTCTTCATGTTTCTCTCACGCAAAATGATTTTTTATAAGAAAATTTTCCCCATAACATGAGTAGAAGAGTGTCTGTTTTCTGTGTCATGAATGTATTAAATCTATTTACTATGTAAATTTTAAGACAGAAATGGCAGAATTCAAAAAGCAGGAAATAATAATCTTCTATCAGTTCGCGCTTTAATTTCAGGTGGTGAACATCCCGAAGCAATGCAGACGAGCTCGTGTCAGTATCAATATCAAAAGGATCATTACATCAAAATGACAAGTCTAATGATAATAGTATTTTTATACAATCACATTCTGTGGCCCATAGCAATAGCATCGAAACTATACAGTGTCTGCTATGAACACTCATCACATCTGTGTACAGCATTGTTCATTAAAACTAAAAGCTGATTCTCAAAACCAGCGACAGATACAACAACAACAAAAACTTTAGATTTACTTGAAGACTTCTTTCATTTTTTAATTGAAAGTAAAGTGGAAGTGAACAGATGAAAACGAATTTCCTCAATGAACAGAATGCGAAAAGAAGTAATAGGAATAAGCAACAAAACAATAAATCAAAAGCAAATGAAAGAGAACAAACGAGAAAGAAAAACTTGTACAGATTGTGGGGGATCTGAGAAATATGATGTGAAAAGTTAGATAGAAAAAAGCGAAACTCATTTTTACAACCATAAAATTTAATGAATGTTTCAAACTTTATAACTTGTATAGAACAAAAAAAAAATAAAATGAATGAAAATAAATAAAATGATCCACGAAGCTTTGCATTGAAAAACTTGTGTTCTTTCCTATGGTTATGCGCGCGTGTGTGTGTGTGTGTGTATTTGAGTGTGTTTTATGTTGTTTTTATACAAATGAATGCGGTCAGGATCAGTGTTTAAAACAGACAGATTAAATGTTAATTAACCGCAAATTATATACCAGAAAAAAGAAATGGACTGCTTGTGGTGCTTTTTTCTATGCCATGTCATTAAGAACTTTTTTTAAAAAAAATTTTGTTAATGGAAAATTAACGACCGAATATAATTTGAATTTAAAACCTTTCAATTTCCACTTGTTTGATATGAAAGTTTCCATTTGGCTAGATTTGTTTGATTGATCGATTGATTTATTAGATTTATGATACATTAATCCTTTTTAAAATGTCAAAATCTGACATCTGTGGTGTTCATCATACGTTATTCACGTCTGGTTTTAATTCCTTGACGTTGTTGTGGTTTTCATCAAGTTTATGTTTTAAAAACGTCTAAATTGAACAATCTCTTTGAATTTAAAGAAGTTTTGAGTTTTCTACATATGTATCATTGATGTTTGACTGCCTTTGTTGATGATTTTCTACAGATTTGTGACTGGAATCTCTTCGAATCAAATGAATCAAGTTAATCTTTAAACCGTAGTACATCACAACTACTGGTAAGTTGAACTTTAACTGTATAGCCTTCGGGGTCAAAACAATCAATATCAATTTCACAATTCAGATCAAATTTTCAGCCCTAATTAATTTGTCATAAGGGCAATTCTTTGGATGAGTGGAATTTGAAAAAAATGAGCTTTCATAATCCAATGTCAATGAGTTTTGTGTCAATAAAATGTTTTCTTTAATTTCATATTACTGTGAAGGAATAATAAGCCAGAACTTTCGTAGATCATAAAGCATAATTAATTCTTTACAAGTGATCTATTGAAATGTTACAACTCACCCAAATTAAGTGAAAAATTGAAAAAATATGTTTGAAAATTTTGTATTTTTTCACGGATTAAGACAAAAAAAAGCTTTTTTATAACTCGATGACACAAGGAAATTTTTCAAAGAATTGAATTATTTCAATAATTAATGACTTAAAGCACACAGAGAAGCAACCTAATTAAAGATTTTTGTCTGTTCCATAACTCAGTAAAATTATTTAATGTGGATATCAATAGTTTTCTCTAATTTTCGATTCTTCGGATGATGAAAATTAAAAATTCCGATTTCTGTCATCGAGTTATTGACTAAAGAATCCAAATAACTTAATTAATACAGCGATTAGAAGTATATGATATCAAAAGAAGTGTACATTTTAGATTTTTACATAGATAAGAATCATAAAATCGGTGTCTCTGATGGGAAAAATCAATAAAATTTCGATTTTTCGCTGAAAATTTTCCAAAAGTCATCCAAAGAATTGCCCATAAATAAGACAAAAAAAAGAAGAAAATGTTCTTCGTCATTCAGTTTTAATAAATTTATAAAAGGCAGAAAATTTCTAAATTGTAACAGCAGTAACAATCAATCAAATGTCAGGACAAACAACAATAATATGTGTATGTGAAATATTGTTTGAGGAAGATAGATGTTGGCATTTGACATGGAGTTAAATATCATTCACCGTTTATTCTTATTTTACTGGCCCCTCTGATTTTTCGTGCCTCCTACTTAATTTTTCTTCATATAGTGTAATGTAATGTGTACGTACGGTACAGTATTTTGTAAGATTAATGATTTAATGACTATTTATTCGTGATATTTTCACACCATGCGATATTTATTTAGTTTTCACAAACTCATTTCGGTACATATTTTCAGCTCATACGTTCGCTCTCGAGAAATGAATTCGAGGATTTACTTTTAGTACGTGAAATGTTTAGCATCAGAAAGCAATAAAAAGAGAAAATAATCATATGATATAAATTCCATTGAGGTAAAACCATGGAGCTGTATGTATCTCTTAAATGAAGTTATTCATTCATTCATTCAGCATATATCGTTTTTCATCGATAAAAGAACCGCTCTTCCATGTTTCACATTTTTCACAAAACACTTTAATAACACAAATAATACATTGTGTAAGGCATTTCACAAGTCCACAGTCATGAGACCATTAATAATAGAAGATTCATTCTATTTATATTTTTTGCACATTTCTCAGATTTATGATTCGAACATTCCAGCACTTTGGAATGCTTCTCATCTCATTAGCTGTTGCTGCTTGATGAATTTTAAGTGATTCTGAAAAACTGAAATTTTTGAAACTTTTTTAATTCTTAGAATAATTATTGAATTTCTAGTTTCATTATTCTTGATTTATTATTGAATAAAATATTTTTGTTTAAATTAAAAGTTTCATTATCCTTAAGGTTAGCATAGAAGGTGCAACAAAAAGTAATCTAAATTTAAACTCTTTCTTTAAAGAATCCAAATTTGATGACTTTCAAATTTAATAGCTGATCCCAACGGTTTTTTTAAAAGTTTGAAATATCGAGAAAAGTTTATAGCCCCGCAATAACAAATCACAAAATATTTGCGATTCAGTTCTTTGATTAATATTTATTATATTGTGATATTAGAAGTGAAATGGCGAACTTAAAGCAAGATTTGGATGAATATATGTTAATGAATGAAGATAAAAAGTCATCTAGTTATAAAATTCCAAGCTTTAACGTAAAAATGCCAAAAATACCATTTATTAGCTCTGAATCATCTTCGTCATCTACAACCAACAGCTGGCTAAACGATCAAGATGACAGCTCATGCTGTCCCAAATTGAATAGACTACAAAGGATAGCAGCATGTGTGATTTGCATTGGGCTTGGATGCTTCTGTTTGGTGCTTTCTACATTCTATATACCAGTACTAGTATTCAAAGCTCGCAAGTTTGCATTATTATTTACATTAGCAAGTTGCTTATTTATTGCTGGTTTTGCATTTCTTGTTGGACTTAAATCGCTCATATCATCAATGTTTTCAAAACAAAAGCTAATTGTTTCTATTTCTTACACAATATGTCTCATTTTAACTTTGTACTTTTCAATGTTTATGCAAAGTACAGCTTTAACTGTATTGTTTGCAGTTTTACAAATAATATCGCTTAGTTTCATGCTCTTCGGGATTGCACCAAAAGGAACCAGTAGCTCTTTCAAATTATTTGGAACTTTATTTAAACATCAAGCTTCATCAACTTTACCCATTTGATTCTGGTCAGTTCTATATATTTTGAAATTGATAATTAACATGAATCATTTGTAAAACAAAATTCCTGACAATGTAAAAATAAAATACATATTTTTATAAATATTTAATAAACCTGTAATTTTATTCTTTCCTGTAAAAAAGCACTCATTGTTTAGTGCCATTGACTTTAAGAAAGCCGTCTAAATCGACAGCAACAACTCGTATTCATTGAATATTCATATTCTTTTTTTTTTACATGTCACATTTTATAACTTCTTGTCATTTTATCAATTACCTTCATTATATCATCTGATTTAAAACCGACAGGTTAATATCAGAATATTGTCATTTCTGTTCCGCCTTAAACCATTGAATTAAATAAAGGATTATTATATTGAATATTCATTTCTAATTTGAGCTAGATTGAGTTGAGATTTGAATTTCTTTTTCAAGAACATCACTCTTCATGCATGCTACACATGCAGCACAGAGAGGATATAACCACAACAAATCAATGCGCTCAAGTCTGTGTTTATGAAAGCCCTTGTCATTTTTCTCTTGTTCTTCTCTATTCCACTTCGTGATGTTTTTCCTTTTTTTTTGGAGTGAGTGGAATGAAGCTGAAGAAAAAAAACGAACGTGGGTCAAAAAATTTATCTTGCAGAAGAAGTCGTTTTATATTTTTTCCGCTTTAGATTTTTTTATTTATAAGCGGAATGCTCGAAAAAGTTTATGAAGAAGATAAAGTTTCAACTATAAAACTTAATTTTTTCTTTTCAATTTAATTCATTAAAATCTTTCACAATAATAATTCCTTAAACATTTTGGATGAATGGCTCCTCATAAATTTCCTCACTTAAAAGAAGTTAAATATTTAAATAATCTTTACATCAGCTTCAAGAGAGAGCCATAAGCAGTTCTAAAACAATACTTTCCACTTATTGTTCCTTTTAAAGCTTGATGGGCAGCAGAGAGCAAGAAGAAAGATGGTCTTGCATCCGTACAATCAAAATATTTAATGTAAGATTACAAAAAAGGACTTCTCGACTGTAACCAACCAACCATTCCTTTCACCTTGGGTTAAATTTAATTTAAAAGGTTTATTTAGGTTGGCAAAAGCTGCAGAGCTAATAAATATGATTGACTCATAAAAACACATTTACGCACTCGATTGAGAAATTTAGTTAAATGTCTTTTTCTCCTTCTTGCTGTGATGGATTTGATACGATTGATGGCTTAAAAATTTACTACTTCAACAATTTATTTCTCTTTTTTCTGTAACCCGTAAATAGCAGAAAAAATTGGGGTTTAGTATACCAAAAGCATTGAAGTCAATTCCTTTCGAGCATTTGATCAAATTACATGCTCTGTGTATTGTGTGTGTGTGGAAATGAAGCAACAAAAAATTTTTGAGGATAAAAAAAAAAATAAGTTCAAGAACTGAAATTCTGCAATTTCATTCATCGATTATTTGATATACGTCTTTGTTTTCTCGAAGCTATGAAAGCTATTACATGTGCATTGACATTGTCTTGGACAATTAATTTCATCATATTCATGTGGTGACTCATTCTGGCTGGCCACAGATGAAGTCGATGAAAAGTTTACAAACACATTCATTAGATGAATGGAACAAAGTCTATTCATTTGACTTACTAGAGTTAAACAGCAATGATACGAGTCTGGGAATTAAATTAATGTAGAGTTTGTTGATATTTACTGTTTGAATTATGAAACAAGATTGAAGGAATTCTGTAAATAAACTCGAAGGAAATGCAACTAGTTGAACTAATAAGAAGTTTAAGAATCAGTCTACCAAAACCGTAATGCATCATATAGTTATAGACATGCCTTGTTCCTTTTATCAGTAATATCAGAACTTCCCCCAAAGATCTACGACGATAATCGAATGATGTGCTTATGCATTAAATATAAAGTACACTCCCGATACCTTTTGATGCCATCAAATGCCTAAAACATTTTATGCTTATTCAAGTTAATGATTTTTGAGGAACTTCCATCGCTCATATGCTTCACTTCATTTGAATGCACTGATGGAATAAATTAGCTTTTTAAAACTTTTTATTTATTCTCCCATTCAATACATATTTTAGGCATATAAAGTAACAAGAAAAAGAAAGATTGAGGAAGTGAAATAAGTCATAAATATTATTAGCGAAGAAAGAGGAAATAAAAAGAGAGCGCGAGCGAAAAATTGATTTATAAATATTGATGTATACATGTACATGCTATGCTGATACGGTTATGAGAATTTAATATCACTTTCAATTATTGTTGTCAAGATTTTCGATGAAGGCATTAAATGAATATTAAAAAAAAAATGGAAAATGCCTACCTTTATGCTTAATTTTATACATATTTCTTGATCGATAAAGGAAAATGACAATAATTTTGAATTTTTTTTTCTAGTCACACATCGTCACACATTCCTGAATTTTTCACTTTAAAGATCTGTCTCGTTAATCATGAAAAAGAAATGTTCTCCTTTTCCTTTATCGACAATAAAAAATGAGCATAAAGCATTCAAAAATATGAAATGAAATAAATTGAATTTACTCAAAGACATTTTATTATTGTGTCACTTGGGCACACATATCCAAACAAATATGCTTTTTCCAATTGATTTCTTTTATTTTTCCACCTGAGATTTTCATTCTTCCCCTTTTTTTTTATGTCTCTTGCATGTATATGAGATAAAGAGATTTTTCGCCTAGGGATGATAAGCTCTCTTCAGGGGCGTAGCCAGAAAATTTTTAATGGGGGGGCCCATTTTCGAAAATTAAAAAAAATGTTATTTTGTATCCTTAAATCTATATTCATTCTTCATAAGTTTAAATATTTAATTCTTTATTCATACATTAAATTTAATTTTTCGTGCTGATTTTGACATTTCTTTCATCACTTCCTCTACATTAACTGGTTCTTCTCTATAAATACTGAATAAAACAATTATCAGATTTTCGTATGGGGGGGCCCGGGCCCCCTATGGCCCCCCCCTGGCTACGCCCCTGGCTCTCTTAATGCGAAAATGTTTGTATTGACAATGATTCAATTAACACAATTTAAACTTCTCAGATGCAATAATTGGCTATTCTCAAATGACTTGTTGACTGCAATTATCAGGCTTGTTTGTGTTAATCCTTTTCTCATTTCGATGCAGAAAATCTTTAGTGATTTCATAGGGAATTGGCTTAAATTTTGACGTGAGTTGAAGTCAAAGCAAATATTCAGATTTCTTGCATTTTCCCGCCAATAAAATTTTTTTAATTTACAAAAAAACATCTTTTTGTGACTAAATATCCATAAAAATATGAAATATATAGCTTTGCTCACTCACAAAAGAACTGCTTGTACAATATATCTGCAATTAGAGTACAAATTCAGCGAAAAAATCAACAATGAAAATCTGAAGTGGAGAAATTTTTCCCGTTTTTAAAAAAGTCACATCCACTGGATTAAAGTAAACATATTTCTTAGTCATCCACCTCAAACTCTACTTATTAATATGATTTAGAACTCTTATTTCCGCGGTACTGTTAAATCGAGATACTTAAGAGTTTTCTGAACTCATCTCCTTCCCCATTTCATGCTGATTTTACAATTCGCAAAAAGGCATAAAAGTACAATCTGAAAAGGAACAATGGAATTTCTTTTTTGTTATGTATATCACATAAAACCTTTTTTTTCATATGACATGATTTATATATTAAGATTTATACATATTTTCAATTTTTTGCCTTATATAGTGTGAGATGATGAAAGGATTCGATGACTAAGTAGGTCATACCACATGAGAAAAATTTCCCATCGAATTTCAAGTCAATTTTACAGATCAAAAGATGCTGTTATTGTAAGCTGTATTAAAAAAATTCCTTTAAGCACATTAGTCTCATGTTATTCGAGTTCAAAAAACTGTTTGAAACAGAAATTTGTGCCGCACATACGACTAGACTCTGTGAAAATATGTAAATATTTTTTTTTTCATAATTGAATTAATATTTTATGAGGCAAATTTTAATTATCATAAGGTGTAGCATATTAAGTTGCTTTAGAGTAATTAAATTGTTAACACATTTCACCTGTTGTACTTGATTAATATGTTTGCTTCAAGGTTGTGAAAAACAGTTGAGTTCAAAATTTTGGTTTAAAGATCGAAATTCTCAATCTTACAGGATTTCAAACTCTATCTTTGTGGGATACGATAAAAATGTCATGCAAATCATTCAAAGTAATCTTCGTCCTTTCCTCCCTCCAATGTATATCCTTTAAATCTACCTTTGTACTGAATAATATTAATAATCTTTTATTTTGAGTTGTTCCTACAAAATCCCAAATGTTATTCATGCATTAATAAAAATTGTCGACTGTTGCTATTTCAGGAACCAGGTAAATGAGAGAAAAATATTAAAATGTTTTCTATGTAATCATCATTTATGTCAGAATCATACATGATGATATTTTTCATTAAAATCAATAAAAATATTATTTCGAAAAAAGCACAGCTGAATTAACAATGTGCCATAAAATTTTTATAAAAATTCATTAAAATTGTTGAAAGCCAAACGTGGTGAGAATTCATAATCATTTGTGTGAAAATACTGCAAATAATGTTCTTTCGGTACCGTAAATAAATTTGACATTATCTAAATTAAATCTGAATTTTTTGGGAAATTATTATTATTATTTTCACAAATACTTTAATCTTATGTTTGAATATTCAATGTTTGTGATGCTGAATAGAACAATAATATCAAAATTTGCATTGATTTCGGAAGGATTTTAAAAAACATATTTTACAATTTGCATGCTGAATATAATTATGAAACTTTTTTTTATACTCTACCTCACATAGATAAATTATTTGGTTGGTAAAAATTATGAAATTAAGCGAAAAATGAGGAGAATATGTTGCCATGCAGCAGCATAAAATAAAAGCCTTTTGACAGGTGAATGGAGATGAAAACAGACATCTGTGTTGCTAGTATGGCAGAAATATGAGCAGACAATTCTTTTATAATTTTTAATGTGTGAAAATTTCGTACGAAGGAATTTGTGCATCCTCTGTTAATGATGATGTCAATAACTTTCAATGGAGTTTGTTCGGCAAAATGTGTGTGCTTTTATGATACATTTTTAACTCAAACAAGTGATTCCTAGAAATCAACTGTGATTATAGCAGAATGTGTATATGTACGGCATGTACTATGATAGCAAGAATTTTTATATTAATTTACTATTCTAGTAGAAGTCGTTCTATTTTAAGGTTACACCAAGAACTTGTTTTTAAGTTGCCTTAGTTTCAAACACCCACCCTTTATTATATAAACAGCTCTGAATTTATATTGCTACCTATCCTTTTATCTTTGTTGATGACTTTCCACTGATTTGTGACTACTTTCTATATCTTAACGTTCAAATTCTCATGAAAACCGTACAAATAAATTAAAACCCAGTAAAACCTGGTAGAAGCATACAAATTCGAAAAGAATAAGACAGTCTAAAGCAGGGGCGTAGCCAGGGGGGGGCCATAGGGGGCCCGGGCCCCCCCATACGAAAATCTGATAATTGTTTTATTCAGTATTTATAGAGAAGAACCAGTTAATGTAGAGGAAGTGATGAAAGAAATGTCAAAATCAGCACGAAAAATTAAATTTAATGTATGAATAAAGAATTAAATATTTAAACTTATGAAGAATGAATATAGATTTAAGGATACAAAATAACATTTTTTTTAATTTTCGAAAATGGGCCCCCCCATTAAAAATTTTCTGGCTACGCCCCTGGTCTAAAGCTTTAAATATTCAATTATTAAGCACAACCCACATATCAGAAACAATTGTGTTTCCATGCGAAAATTAATGAAATTTTCACAAAATAATTATCGAATGATGAGAAGCGTATAAGAAAAACATTTCAAACCATCAAAAACATTTATCAAAATGCTGCTAACATCTAACTTCAAAGTATCATCACATTTCAGCTTATTTATGCTTTAACATTCATTCTATGTTGACTCTTATTTTATCATTATTTCCTTAAAAAAAGAAAAAGAAAAACCCAATTGCATACAACACAAATGTGAATTTTCTCACAAAACTCAAATTGATAAAAAATGATTCAGCATTTGTACAAAGGAGGAAGAAAATGTTATTGCATGAAAAAGAGAAAACAGAATTTTTCCATTAGTTTACTTACTATCGTTTGTAAATCGTCACTAGAATTTTGATGTAAGGGTAGATTTGAAAAAAAAAAAACAACTGGAATGGATTTCCTTTTGTGACATTATTCTTTTATTTCAGTTACATCATTCAATTGCTTGTCAGATCAGAATTAACATGTTCATAAGCATTACCTCTAATTGCTTCATCTAGTATAGTGCGAATTTTTTCACATCCCAATTGACAGCAATCGAAAATTTTGTTTAAATCCTTTAGATAAAACTTTTGTGATAACTCGATGAATGCGACGCTTTGTTCATGATCTCCAATTCGAGGTAATGCGGCAATTGTTAAAGTTGGTCCACCTATACGATTTTATTTTTTGGGAATGACAAATATTCGTACTTAACAACCATAAAAAGGGATTTCTTTTTTAACAGGAAACTTACCACAAATCTCTTCTAAATGGGAAACATCTAAAAGAGCTAAACCATCATTTGTTAAGGATGCTGTGCATGCACAGACATATTCTTTCATACATATTCCGGCATCTATTAAAGCTAATGTTGCAGTATTAACAATCGTACATATTTCACTTCCACCGTCATGCTGCAGAACTTCTATATTTAAATCAAGCTGTGATTTCTCATACTTTTCCACCAATATGACTGATTTAAATATATTCTTCAAGTTTATCTCTATTTCACCTAACTTCTTACTGTTCTTTAAAACTTTCTGTCTTTCGCCATTCTTTGAGAATGTTGCAAATTTTACTCGTACATTAAATATGAATGATTCATCCTTTTTGCCTGAACTCTTTGATGGATGTTTTGGTCCTGAGATCGACGCAATCACTTTTGTGTTTCCATGAAGCATGTAGGCACTTCCATCGCATCTGTTTTTGTGTGTAAATAATTCACTTTGATTTTTATCGTCAATTTATTCAACATATTATTAACAAACCTTTCAAGTACACCTAATTTACATTGAATCTGCCTCAATTCATTGTGTCTTCGTCCATCCATCCGTAAACCTTGCGCTGACAATAGATCTTGCACCATTTTATTGTTTTTCTATGTGAAATTTAATGTTTTTAAAAAACAATGTGAAACTAGCTCTTTTTTTGTTTACTAGGGGAACAACAACTTAATTGGAAAATTCTAGGGTAGAAATTTAAATTTTTCCAACTCAGTTCCAAATGTCATGAATATTTTGAGTGGTTTGGTGCTATAAAATTATCATAAGTGAAAAACTTATGCTGATTAAATTCATTTCACGCCTTCATTTTATTCAAATGCCTAATTTACTTTGTTAAATTAATTAAATTAAATTTTTAAAGAAGTCTGACGAACGAATTCAAACTGAGAATGTACAGCATGTAGTTTACAAATTCTTACATTAAAGATTTCGGCACAATATCGATTAATCTTCATATCAAGTGACTCCAACTACGTTGCAATAATGTCATGTCGACAAGATCAAATGACTAGCACGTGTTGGAACATTTCTATTCTAAACTTTTTGTTGATTAATGGAAGTACTTGCAATCGTCTGAACCCCTTAAAGCACAAAATATACGCACAGAGAGAAAAGAGTTTGGTTTTATCTGATTTAATTACTCTCTCATTTTATGCTTAATGTCCCACCAAATAAATTAATCTCTTTGACACTTCAAAACCATTAAGACTACTTATATGAAAGGCTATAGGCTTTTTAGACGCAATGTAATTTTTATTGGCCATAGAGTTATTTCCAAATGCACCCATAACAATAGACTTGCGGCTGTTTCGTGACCTATCATGGCAATGATAAATGATATTGAGTATTAATCACGAAAGGATGTTTTTGGTACATGATATGTTGCTTGACTTGCTTATTCGATCTGCTAGTATGTGCTTTAATAAGAAACATCAGAATTCAATGAGTTAATTTCAGTTGATTTTAAAAGTTCAAAATCCCAACGGTTTTCAAAAATTCGAATATTTCTTTCAAAATTTCCACGACAAAACAACTTTTCTCCCTTTTTCTTGTTTATTTGGTAAATTTTCACAAATTTTCAATTTTCTCTATTAATACTGATAGATTTTCCTTGATTCAAGCACTATTTGATGCCGGCAAATAGCTTAATTATAGTTCATATGAAATAATTCAGTATTATTAAAGGAATAAAGTGATTTTAAAGCAAAAGTTTATTGTGATTGATTAGATAATTTTTCCTTACATTTTCATCAAACAATTAATTACAGTAACAGAGGATTAAGGTCTTTAAAATGGGTGGACATCATCATCATGAAATCAAAATCCCTGATTGGAGAATGTACAAAGTGGAAAATGCAAAGGAACTTGTGGAAGTTGAAAAGGCATTGAATAGGATCGGTTTGAAAGATCCATGGCTTAGGTACAGCTATTGATGTATATTGGCAGTTCTATTATTAATTATACTGTTTATTATTTCTAGAAATGAAGTTTGGAGATACGATCCAGCAATCCAGAAGTACACAAAAAACCAAAAGTTAATGAAAAGTTTATTTCGCGGATTTGGTGTTGGTCTTGTCTTGACAGTAGCTACAATTGCTTTAGAAAAGGCTTTTAAAGTTGATTATCATGATCCAAGAGGTGTTCATGGACATGGACATGGACATGGCGAGGAACACCATTAAATAGATTCATTTATGTAGCTGTAAAAATCAGGAGAAATAAAATTGAGGAAAACAAATCTATTGGATAGACTTTTGAGTAGTTTGCTTCATTATTTGAAATCGTATTTAACAAAATCTCATCAATTTTTATTCGAACTAATGAATTAAATAATAACATTTGTATGTTTTGTTTTTTCGTCTAAATGAACAATCAGCATGGTATTGTAGCGTTTCTCATATATAAATAAATAATTTACACAATTGTTTATGCTTCATTTATGGATTAGACAGTTTAGTATTTGAGCAATTTAATCGACAACATTTGATTCTGTTGTGATTATAAAGCTTTCATCAATCGTTTCCTATTGCGTGAACGATTTCGTCTGGACCGCTGAAGAAAACCTTAACAATTCTTTTACAGCCTGTTGAATTCGACTGAATTAAAGTCGATGTAGACGACGATGATGATGAGTCTTTTGCGTTAGTACTACTTGAAACATTGGAAGTACTAAAATGAAAGCAATTTAATTATTAAAATAGAGTTTCATTAAAAGATAATTAATGATCTTACTTTGTAGCCGGTGTATTGATGTTCCAAACATAAAACGATCCATCACTACATCCTGAAAGAAGTTTTTTACTATTTGAACTCCAAGATAGAGATTTTACAGATGCAGTATGATTCTTTAAATCTAAGAGTTGTTGGCCTGCTGCTAAGTCGAAGACTCGAATCTTTGTCTCATCGCCTGAAACAATAAATTTGATTAAATTCAATTTTAATAAATTGAACTTTAAATTTAACGACTATTTAGACTTTAAATTTTTGAACTTTAGGCTCAACTCCATTCAAATCTCAAAAAGTCGTAAGATTCAGCAACATTTGAACTAAAACTTTATATAATCTCAACTGACCTGCAGCTGCGAGAAATTTTCCATCTGGACTAAAGCTAATTGTATTTACAGGTAAATGACATTCGGTAAATATCCTTAATAATCTTCCTGAAGTGACACACCACATCCGAATATTTGTGTCAGCCGAGCCTGTTGCAAAATAATTGCCATTTGGATGAAAAGCTATACACTACAAAGAATTCAGATCTATTAATTCAGTTTCAATAAAAACTCAATGAATTACTCACATCTACGTCTAAAGTGTGACCTGCATAAACCCTAAGTGGAAATTTTCGCTCATATGACCAAAGTCGAGCCGTTGTATCACGTGAACCTGTAGCTGCATAGCAGCCATTAGAACTTTCATCTACACACCAAATTGGATATTCGTGACCTCTATAAAATAAACAATCATGTCAAAAATTACAAGTAATAGAATATTTTTGAATTTTACCGATAAACTGAAGCACAAGTGTACGAGTCAGCCTTCCACAGCCGAAAAGTTGTGTCTCTAGATACGCTAAGTAAAGTATTGTTTCGTCCGAAGACCAGATCTGTCACTGAGCTTCGATGTCCTCGAAGGATAATACTTTGAGAATCTGTTGAGCTGTAAAAATAGATAAAGTCAAGTTTGAACGCAAAAAGAAGCACGCATCAACTCACAAGTTATTTTCACAGCTGTTTTTTGATGTGTAGTCCTTCCACTGCTCCTTAATACTTAATGTTTTTCTATATTTGTTACAATTTCTTCGCCTTTTTGACAATTTTGTTAAAGCATTCTTGGCCATTGAACTTTCATCAGGACTTTCTTCCTCTGCTTCGCTTGATGCCTTTAAATGTTTCTCAACCTCCTCATCGCTCGTCTCATAATCACTCAAATCATCTGTTAACATTCGATTACAGTTGTTTATTGACCACTGACACAGTCGATCGTCAAATGACTGAAATGGCTTATGTCCATAATTCTCAAAGCCATTAATCGACCATAGAAGAATTGAAGAGTCTTCAAAGCCAGCAGCCAAATGACACAATTGCTTATCGGTTGATGCAGAACATAGACTAAAATACAAATTGATGAGTATTATGTTTTAAATCAGTCAGAATTGGACATTTACCTGTTATCAGTGTAATTTATATTAAAAATTCGAATTGGTTTGTGATATTTACTATAAACACGATGGAGGCAATCACGCAGTCTTTTTATTTTAATATTGCTACTACTACTACTACTGCCATACAAAACTTCCATGGAATTGTCATCACATCGATTGTGAGCAGACTTTTCATATTGCAGTCCACTTTTTACATTACATTTAATATCTTTATCGAGAGTATCACAATATGAGGGGTCAGTATATCTATCAATGTTTGATTTAGACAATGAGTTTCTATGTGTTTTTTCATAATGTTCATTATTTTGTGATGACGATGATGATGACGATGAGGAACTGTCATCGTTAAGGTCGTCATGTAAATCGTAGAGATCCATATTGAACCAAAGATGAAGAATTTGGATGAGAAGTACGTGACTATGTTTGGAAAGATATTTATTGAGCACGGAGAGTGTCTTGTTGGATATCTTTACTTTATATTTGCACGATCGAAAGTTAAGTATGAGCTTATTGTCCTTAACATCATCTAGTCGTTTTAAATATGATAAATTACTTATCAATTCCCTAAACATTAATAACTTTTGTTCATCCAAATTAAGTTGACTTATATGTGGAGCTTGATGCTTTGATGTACTTGGCGTAATTCTATTATAAATATTCTGGTGTAGGCTTGAATTTTGTTGTGATGCTATTGCTGCTGCTGCTGAAGATGATGATTGTGGAAGAAACTGAATTGTTTGTGGAACGATGAGGAGATTTGGATCACTTCCATTGACTTTTTGTTGCGCTATATCTTGTACATTTCCAACTAGACATGAGAATTTGCGTAAGAAGTCATGAGCTGGCCTGAATTCACGACCTTTTAGCATCTCAATATATAAATGACAAACTATTGGCGGTAATAATGATTCTAGCTCTCTCCTTAATGTTGTATTTCTCTGGCACTGCACAAATTTTACTAATCTACTGACTTGTTGATCTACTAGACTTTGACTCCCATTAAGACTTGATATGTTTGAAAATGTAAATGAATTAGTTCGCGAGATTTCTGTATTAATTTTAAGATCCATTAGAAATTCCTCTTTTGACTGTGTAAGCACTAAGTCACTTTTCCGAAACCTTTCATTTATCTAAAATTATAATAACATTATTAAAACCTCTTATGATCCTCACAGCTATACACAAAATTAATTTTTGTTTTGCTAGTTTCCAATTTTTTTATTTACAGGTTAAGTGGAGAAAATTTTATCGAATTTTCACCAAATTTTCTATGATAACACAGCATTTTTTGCTTTCTATCGATGCTTACCGGATAGTTTTTCTGTTTTAAATAATTATTAAGTGTGGATTTTATGGAATTTTTATTCATTATCTTGTTTTTAGATAAATGAAACTATAACAAACACAACAAGTTAAAAATACATAGCACTTTATAGTATCTAGTGCGCTTCTAATATGCCTTTAGCTTTTACTACTTTGTATAACTTTATATTCAGCGATATCTGGATGTGAATCAGTCCGTTTTACTTTAATTAATGATTTTTGACATTATTTGATTTATTTTAACGTCTTTGACAAAGTGAAAAAGTAGTCACATTCTCGCTCGAAATTTTTGTTCAAAATAAAAATTCAAACTTTCTTCAAAACCGTTGAAGATTTTTCAATCGAGTTTTCCAAAGGTTTACTTCACTTTTTAATATTTATTTTTTGTTTTTCTGCAATTTCTAGTCATTATCTTTCAAAGTAAATTAGTGTTAAGCACTATAAACATCAATAAATGTACTTTCTGATGTGTTTGAAAAATTAACGGTTCTCAAAAATTCAAATGCAAGTTTAAAAACTTTTTTGACACAATATTGACGGGAACACAATAAAAAGAGTAAGTTCTTCATAAAATATCTTGTAAATGTGAAATTAAGTAGTTTATCATGAAAAAGTGTGGACAGTGTAATAGTACGGAGATTGAAGTTGATAGTGCTCGTGGAGATGAAGTATGTACGAATTGCGGTGCAGTTTTAGCTGATAATATCATCGTTGCAGAAGGTAATAAATAACATTTCATTTTTTACAACGATTTACATCAAAAAATTTTTATTTGTTCAGTTCAATTTGAGGAAAATGCTCATGGAACATCTGCGGCTGTTGGACAGTTTGTGTCAGCAGGTAAATACTCATTGATTAACATCCAGTGGACATTATAAATTAACCGATTTATTGAATTACAGACTCAAAAGGTGGGGCTACGGGATACGGGAAGTTTCATGTTGGAACTAGCACAGAATCTAGAGAAGTAACACTCAGAAAAGCTAAAATAGGTATTTCACACTTGTGCAATATGCTGGCACTTAATAATCATTGTATAGAAACAGCACACAACTTCTTTAAAATGGCTCTCTCAAGAAATTTAACTAGGTAAGTTAAGTTATATTTTAGTGCAATTCCTTATCTGATCAGGCCATTCATTATGTATGGCATGTTGATGTAATCATAAAATAGTGTCTAAATGATGAAATTGTCTATTTTAGAGGAAGGAAGAATTCACATATTTATGCAGCTTGCGTGTACATTACTTGCAGAACAGAAGGAACATCACGTAAGTCCATAAGAACTGAATAATCAAAATACAGTTAAAACAATAATCCCTAAATCTAGACCTGCTGATCGATATTAGCGATGCTCTTCAGATCTGCTGCTATGAATTAGGGAGAACATATTTGAAGCTATCACAGGCTTTGTGCATAAACGTTCCATCTATTGGTGAGTCAAAACAAACAGAGACTTATTAGCTTTGAATAGATTCTTTTGATTTATTTAATTTAAGTTCATTCAAAAAATTATGCACACTACAACTACATTTTCTCAATTTTATCATCTTAAACTTCCTTCGTCTACGAAGCATATATAGATTATAATTCTTGAAACTAGTTTCAAAATCACGAATTGATTAAAAATTGAATTAATTTATCCCTCTCACATATTGACAAAAAAGCTATTGACTTTTTGTACATCTATCATAATTATCATTTGGACTTGGCAATGCCAATTCGTTATTGCTGCTGTTTGACACCGCTTTCTTTAGAGTATTTGTATTTGAGTGACCATTTGAAGGTGGACCATAAAATATGAGTTCAGGAATTTGTCCACCTTGAACGCCAGTTCCATTCGTAGATTCTGATGAGCATTGAAAATTGAATGTAACAGCGCCAGTACATACTTCCGTCATTCCTTCTTGTCCAAAGAAACTTAATTCAGTACCATCTAAAATCACACTTGCAGTATAGAAGCATTCAGGTTCTATTTGGATTGGATTCTCAAAGAAAACATGGAAAGTATTCGATGATCCATCTGAGAAAAATTTTGTATTGCTTTCAGCGAGAATCCGTCCTAAGCGTTTCAATTCAATCTTAACATTATAGTCAGCTGCGCCCGTGGATGATCCATATAGTCCAAATCCAACAATAAATATCCTTTTATCCACACTAAATTGTATTGAATCACATCGTCCACGATATCTCCATTGATTGCTCCTAAAAATGCATCAATTTTCAAAATCAATGTTCAAAAATATTTGAAAAAATAATTAACAGTCACTTGCGTATTATTCATGACTATATCGTCTAGAACGATATAAAACTGCACACCAAAAATCTAATTCAATCTTACCTGTAAGCACATGATAGGAATCGGTGGCAAATTTGAGCTTTTAAGCCGCTTCTAGGCTTGATAGGAAAATTAAGTTGTGGCTTACTTTTGGCCGTAAAATGCAAGAAAATATCAATAGTCTCTTGTTGAGTCAAAATTCCTAGTTGCGCGACATTATTTGCAAATTGCTCTAATGTCATCGTTGGGATTCGAATGAGAAATAAAGCAGTTCCGAGAATCTGTCTTTTATTTTGAGATGTGGAATCAATTTCTGACTTTTGACAAGCCGTATGAGCCCAGTTCAAAGCTGCCTCAAAAAGATTAATCTCCTTACAATTGAGAGTCTCGCGTGCGAGAATAGTTTCAAATGTTTTTATGTCAATGTCCACAAATCCTTCAGATTTGATTGCCATTTCAGCTTGTGCATCTAAAACCTCCCAACATCGTGCCATCAGTTCTGGTTCCTCAAATAATCTGTAAATAACAGATTTATACGCATTTAATTAAGTCAATTTTGGCTGTTTTTTGAGTATTTATTACCTTGATTGACTTAATAGAAGGCAAGCGTTTTTTGCTGTCAAACTTGTTTCTAAAAAATTAACACATGCACGACACAAATGCGGTACAATATATTTTTTGGCAACATATAAAGTTGCAAGTACATTATCTTCAGAGAGTTGAATTTCATCACAATAGAGATATCTGTGGATCGACAAGATAGAACTTAGACATGAAATTATCACTTGACATTAATTGTTAAAACTTACCTTAACATTGTCAAGAATGCAATAGGTTCGACATCAGGTACACGAATTTCAGTTTTGTTCTCTGCAAGTCCACCGTAGAACATTGCATAAAATACCGACGATCCTGTTGCTAATACATATTTATGGGCTGGTATGGCTTGTAGATTGTCTGGAATGCATTATTGTGTTAATATAACTTTGATTAGTACTGTTACTTCCTTATTATTTGCACGATAGAAATCAATTGTGTATGGAGATGACCGAATTGCATTATTATGTGTTTACATTTGTGCTTAGTTAAGCGTAGTAAGCAATAAGCTTGCTTAGTTACGTGATTTCATTTGGAATTTGTTCTGAGTAGTTGAACTCTCTAAGGGTTATTGATTAACATGATTTTATACACCCCCTCCCCCTTAAAATGAACCATTAAGGTACGCCAGGGGTATACTAGGAATGGATTAAGTGTCCTTATATTCTGATTCCGGATTTAAATTTGTAACTTAATAGTTTCGCTCTATAGCAACCCCGGATCAAATTTCATGCCACTAAGGCATTCATTTCTCCACAAACAAAGCAGCAAAAATAAAGAAGTAAAATGCCAAAAGTTTCACACTTTCACAGTGCCTTAATGACTATCTTTGGATGATTAATTTATCAATCGATTAGTCACTTCCATCGTAAAAAAATAATATCGGATATAAAAAATTGGATAGTAATTTACCTTCATTCCCCACAATGAATTTCACATCAGCCATTAACTCATTATTGAACATGGCTGCATTTCGTTCGCGTACGCTGGGTTTATTGGCTTGCCAATTTGGATCACTCGTTGGATCCTCAACTTCCTGATTGATTTGAGCTATTGATAATGCGGATGGTGATTGTAGACAGAAGGATGTTGACGTCTGAGGACTTGGTGATGGAATTGGGGAATTCGGAATGCTTGATGGCTGTGTTATAAGCATATTATCTCGTTGATTTGATGGCTGTTGAACATTTAAATTATGTGGTGGCGACATTAAAACCTCATTATTGACTATGAAGAGAAAAAATGATCAGGCACGGGACACTAATTAGCACAAGCTTACTCCCAAGAATCAACTGAATTCAAAAAACAAAAATATTTTCAGTCATACCAGATATCCAATGTGGTGTTTGTGAATAAGACATATTTGCAGGCTCTGAATTACGTTTCATTTGTGCAATTTTTGAATAAATATTGGACATGGCCATTATTCTGCATGAGTTTTGTAAAATCTTTCCATTTTTAAGCAAAAATTTTTATAAAAACAAAAACTTCTTCAACTTTTTGTGGAACTGAAGAAAAATCAATAATGTTTTAGAGCGAATTGAGAATAGTCGTCAGATATTCGAGGTTCTTGTGCAATTGTCGGATAACTGAGACATTAAGAATAGCACAGGAAATTAAACGAGAGCTAATTAATTGAATATGATTGAAAAACATGAATTCTGAATGAGTTATGGACTCAATTATTGTCCAAGGAATCGGAAAATTCAATTATTTATGACTGTCATTGGCACGAGTTCTATTCTTTTATGAAATTTGGGTATGACTTATAATAATGTGGATATATGATGATCACCATGGACAGCGACTTACATTTAAGATAAAAGCTTATCTAAAGGCGTTTGGAGATGGGAGGGGTAAGATCCAAAAATCTAAATTTATTATAGATCTCATTTATGAAAGATTAACAGTAATCTTTACAGCAATACGCTACTGATCGAAACTATGGGTTTTCCCGCCAAATTCCCATTGTTCATGACTTTTAAAATTTAATTGCAATTGATCATCACAAAGATGGGTCCGCTATAAAACCTCAAACTCAACATAATACAAAATTTATCTTGATCGGAATGGAATTAGAATTCATTCATAAAATTTAGGCTGAAACCTAAAAAGAAGAGCTCTTAGCTTTATTTTGAGTATTGCATCCAATAAATTAAATAATAGGATATTGACTCTATTTTAAAGCAGTTAAAAACCCCAAAAGCCAAAATGAGTTTAATTGATTCTGGTAAAGTTGTGCTACTCGTGCATGATGTGCAAAAATTTACGCGACAGAAACAGAGAGAGAGAGAGAGAGAAAGAACAAATAAGAAGCAAGAAAAAAATGTGTTGATACCTCGCAAGTTACCCTGCAACTGGTTTCCATAAATTTCATTGCCATTGACATAGTAATTATCATTCAGACGAATGTTTTGATGATAATAATATGCTCGATCATGGTCGACATATTGGTTGTTTAATTCATACAACAAGTCATCGTCTTGTGGCGTTAAAATCTCGTCAATAACAGCAACTCCACTCTCGATTGTCCTTAAATTACTCTGAATATTCTCGTTGAACTTTGTATACCAAATTCCCGATTGTGATATTATCCAATGAATTATGTTATAGCCAATATGATCACTTAACTGCTGTTGAACTAAGACCATTTTTGCTACTGCTACTCAATTGTAACTGTTTCTATTCTTCTTCTTGTGCTGCCTGCCTGCCTTGCCGTCAGAGAACAGCAATTGATTTCGCCAAAAGACGTTTCACTTTCTTTTATCTTTAGGGTTCAAAAAGACTTTCTCTTTCATTTAAAAAGAAATGAATAAATCATTGAACTTCTTTTCACTTTCTTTACTCTAAATGACATAAAAAAAAGATTGTCTTCCTTGTTCACTTTCAACACGTCACGCGGTTATTGTTCTACGGGATTGTTGCTAAAATTCCGATTTAATTGACACTATTTTTGTTTTTTCATTGACTGTACGGAAATATTCCATCCGCGAGTCTAGCACGTCTGCTTTGTTTAAGTTAACTCTTGAAAATAATCCACAACAGTGAGACGAAAGCGAAAAATATTACTCAATAAACGTTAACTTACTGACTGACTAACTGAATCTTGCTTTTCTTGATCATTTTGTAGCGCGAACGATATGAAGCAAATATCATTTATTTTTTTTTATATGAGCGTATGTAGAAATTTGTAGTTTTTTTTTTTCTTCTCGTGGAAAAATATTTTAACAAAAAAATTGAGAGAAACAGGTACCGGCTTAAGCAACATGAATTAAATGAAAATGTTTTTATATTGAAAACTGGTAAAATTGTCGTCGGTGCAATGAAACTTGAATATTTTAGCGCAGTTAATGGAGAGATCCGTGATTTTTTTTATTTATTAAGAGTTAATTACATAAATTGCATATTTATTTATTGCACAATCTTCTTAAAAAGGAATTATTGCATTATATGATTTTTAAAAATTAACTGTCACTTTATTTTTGAATTTCTGTTGTCGTTTGCTGTCTTTTATGAAACTGTGGATTAATTACCAAATGTTCCTTGCGAAATTCTGCACAATGGAATTTGACATTTGTTTATTTTTTGTGTCAAGTTTCTATCAAACTGCAGTAAAATGATTTTGATGAACAAAAAAAAAAGTTTAACCTTAGCATTTGAAAGACCTCAGTCAGAAATTCAAAGTGAATTAAGTTGGGAAATATTTCTAGTAAATACCCTACCCAAAAGATACATGTGTAATTTCATGAAAGTGCATTTATTTTAATTTTTCAACATTTTCTAAAATGTAGTTTATGAATTACAAAGCATTAATATTACCTTTTCCTTAATTGCTCTTATCAGAGATTTAAAATTGACTTGAGTCGGTGAATTGAAATAATTTGCAATTACTTTAAAATGCTATTGCTATGAGGTAACTGTAAAATGGTCTAAGGGGATGACATAAATTGATGGTTACTTAATAATAGTCACATCAACCTTAAATTAAGTGCAGGAAGAATGAGTTATAGTATTTTTGAAAGTAAATTGCTGTGCGCTAGATATGCAAATGTGAGAATTAGGCGAGTAATTTATGGAAGGGTTGAGGTGATAATTTATAGAAATTGGATAGTAAAGAAGTTGTTTGAAGCAATGTACTGTTACAGAATGTCAATTTTTGTTACTTTTTTCAAACATTTCCATCGATCATAAAAAATTTGAACTTCAAAACCTTATAAATGCAGGTAAAAACATTTGTATGGTTTTAAAACATTACACAAATTTAACGTGTTTTAAAAATTTGAAAATTCAACCAAAACTTTACAAATGCAAAGATCAGAATCATTTGTAGGGTTTATTAGCATTTTTTCCTGAGGACTTCAAACATAAAATTTAAAAATGAAAAGCTATTACATCACAATAAACAATTAGGGGCCGTTCACTTATTATGTTTGCATTTTAGGGGGAGAGGGAGGTTTAAAAATTGTAACAAAATGTAATATAGGGGGGGGGGGGGGGGGGTGTCAAGAAATATGTAACGTTCTGTCACGAAAAAATTTATTCACACCAAAATCATTTTTATTTAAATTTTCCACCATTTTAATGATAAAATAAATTATGAACGTTCAGGGGGGGGGGGGGGGTTGTGAGTTGTAACATATTGTAACAAGAGAGAAGGGGGGGGGGGGGGGTGAAAAAAGTTTTTTGCGTAACGTAATAAGTGAACGGCCCCTTACTTGTACTTCCGAATTGAACAAACCTTCTGCGAAATTCATTACGGCTTTATAGAAATTATTAATTATTTCCTGGATAATAACGTTCCTTCATTTTTATAAAATCAGAAATGACAAATTCTTTTAAATATTACAAAAAAATGTTTAATTAATTAATCAGGTCTGAAAAAAGAAGGAAAAATGCGCATCAGACGTGACAAAACCAATTATTTGAGTCAAATGCTCAATGTCTAATTTTTGTCGTTCCATAAACGGAGTATATTGTGAATTGTTATTATAATTAAAAAGAGAGAGAGGAAGATAGAATTTTAATATTTTAGTACATCAGATACTGCTATCAATTTTAATTAATGCCTTTGACACATTAATATCGATTTTCTATTCTAGATCCATGCATTTATATCATGCGATTTGCAAATCGATTAGAATTTGCCGATAAGACACATGAAGTCTCTATGACAGCTCAACGTCTTGTTCAAAGAATGAAAAAAGATTCACTCCATTCAGGTCGTCGTCCTTCAGGTCTTTGTGGCGCTGGTAAGCTATTTAAACATTTTGTCAACTGATTAAATCACTTGCTAATTGATACTAAAAAATGGTTTAGCCTTATTGCTTGCTGCTCGCATGCATGACTTTAATCGGAAGCCAAACGATATTGTTAGAGTTGTAAAAATTCACGAATCCACGTTAAGAAAGAGATTATTAGAATTCGGAGAGACACCGAGCAGTGCATTAACCATAGATGAATTTATGACGATTGATCTTGAGGCCGAGGCCGATCCACCAGCTTTCAAAGCTGCGCGCAAAAAGGACAAGGAACGATTACAAAAGGTGATAAATTTTGAATTAAAACTAGCTTCGGGCTCGTCTAGAATGCGCACAGATTATCTTAATCTAGAATTACAATTAATCAAAAGATTATCCTGATTATCGATTGAATTAAATTGAATCCTAAGATAAGATTGATTGCCATCCAAAAATGATGAATTAGCGAAACTATATGATTAACTTATTTATATTCATTTATTCGCATGCTCAAAACAACAACAGCTGCCAGATGAAAGTGAATTTACATCTTTGCAAATCGAAATCGATGCAGCCATTGAACGAGACCTAAAAAAGAATCGTAAACGTAAACTTAACGTTGCCGGCACATCCATGGTGATAGATGAGTATGATGAAACAACAGAGACAGACAAGTTTATAGGAGAGTCGACAATAGACGTTATAAATGAATGTTTACAAGCCGATCCTGATGACTTTGTTGCTGGTGATATTAATAATAAAGTTAATGTAGATGTTGTGGTTCCTAAAAAAGAAGAGAAGAAAGTAGTGAAAATAGAGAAAGAAGTTTTACCGAAATTTGGTGGATTAAAACCAGATTTATTGGCATTATGTACTGTTTCGGAAAAAGAACAGTTTCTGCTATCGTCATCGAATAAAAAATCAACGGAACCAGTTAATGATTTAGATTTAGAAGGATTAGATGATAATGAAATTAATGGCTATATTTTATCGGAATCTGAAGCTGTTTTAAAGGACAGATTATGGAATAAGATGAATGCAGAATATTTAAAGGCGGCAAAGGAACGTGAAGAAAAGGCAGCTAAAGAGCGTGAAGAAGGGAAACCTGAAAAGAAAAAGAGGCGCGCAAAAAAGAAGGCTATTGGACCATCAAGTTCCGCTGGTGAAGCTATAGAAAAAATGCTTCAAGAGAAGAAAATTTCATCAAAAATCAATTATGATATTTTAAAATCACTAACGGCTACTCAGGACGATAAAGTTCCCGAAGAAACAGATAAAGTACCAGGTCCAGAAACCCCCATTGAAGAAGAAGAAAAGACTGAAACTGAAGAAGTATTACAGCAGCAGCCTAATCCTCAAAGAATTGAACCGTCATCAACATCACCTCGAAAGAGTTACATCAACTTAAGCAATAATAGAAGATCTAAAGCACAAATGGGTCTTCCCGTTGTAATGCACACCGAAACAGCTGAAGAAGAAAAACCAGCTGAACCGGCACAAGCAGTGGAGCATGCGGGTATGTGTCATAATTGCAAGCTTATTATTTTGTTGGGAAACAACTCAAAATTCAAATTCAAATTTAACGGTTTTTATAAAATTTGTTTTATAACAATTTACATTTTTCCAAACAGATGATTTCGACGAAGACGAAGTTGAGGAGCATCCAGAACCCCAAAATGATGATGACAGGTTAGGAAATATTTTGAATATGGGTGACGAGGATAATGAAGATGCTTATTTACATTCAGAAGATTACTATTAATTTTATTATATTGAATAAAAATATAATTTATTACCGACACACATGAATAGCTATTGAATAAATATTTAAGTTTCAAAGCATATAACATGTTTATTTTTAAATATCAGCTGGCATTTTGCAAGTTTGTATGATTTCGAAATCAAGTTTATAGACTAATCCACAACATTGTGTAATTTTATTTAACGGATATTTTAAATTCCGTCCGTAGCTGCTCATCAGCTGATTTCAGTGGAAGACTTTAAGTTGTTTACATCTTATTTTCGCAAAAAGTTCTTATTTTTAATGGAAATTTTTATTTTTTAAAAAGTAGTTCAATTAAGTTTTAATAATGTTAAGAATAGCACCAAGGAAGTTAAAAAGCTCTGTTCTATTGACTTGTCATCGTCATTATAATGAGCATCATGGAAATCTGCCACAATCAGCTCGAGTAGTTATTGCAGGTAATTTTCATCAAAAAAATCTTATTTATTCAAACGTTAAGAAGATTAAACTGCTCGTGTATCTAATTTTGGAATCTATGTCAAGTCTGCGTAATATGAATATGACTTGTTTGTGATAAATCCATTAAAGTGTCATTGACTTGAACAATTTAAAATGTATAAAGTGAGTTAATAATTATATTGTTTACTGTATTGTAAGGATCTGGAGCTGTTGCAAATGCAGTAGCTTATCATTTAACGAAGCAAGGTTGGTCAGATGTCTTGGTATTAGAACAAAATACAATCAAATCAGGCACATCTCATTTCTCAACTGGATTAATTGGTCTTTTAAAGCCATTCTCGATGAGAAAGGTTATCGAAGAGAGTTTAACGACATACAGAGAACTTGAAACCTTGGGATATGATATTGGCTTGAAAAGATGTGGATCTATCAATTTAGCACAAACTCCAGGTATTTTTTACTGATAATTTGCCTGTATTATTAATTTTAACTTGATCCCTGCATCTCACTTTTAGATAGAATGATAGCATTAAAAAGAAGAATGTCATACAGTCAAGTCGAGGGATTGGAATGTGAATTATTAGAGCCGAATGAAATTCAGCGTCTCCATCCATATATATCCACAGAAGGTATTTTGGGGGGAGTATATGTTCCTGACGATTGCTATGTTGATTCCTCAAAACTTTGTGATGCTCTAATCGATGTAGCTGTAAAGAGTGGAGTGCAGTATCGTGAACACTGTCATGTTAAATATATATTAACTGATTCAGAAGACGGTGTTTGTGGCGTAGATACGGATTTGGGAACCGTAAAATGTGAATATTTTGTTAATGCAGCAGGAATGTGGAGTCGGGAATTAGGTTTTAAATGCGATAAAGCTGTTAGAATCCCAACGTGTTCATCTGAACATTACTACCTCACAACACGAAATCTCGGAATATTGGAAAATCAAAATCTTCCTTGCATTAGAGATTACGACAATTCTCATTATTCTCGACAAAATGATGAGGAATTATTGATTGGTTGGTACGAAAACGAAGGAAATACTGCATTTGAGAAAACTGTGCCAAGAAATTGGATGAAGGACTTACAAGGTCATGAACATGTTCATTTAGAAAAAATTTGGGATAGACTTGTACATCGTTATCCAATTTTAAATGATTCTGATGCTCCAACTGTTCGAGTTAGTGCCAACACCTTTACACCAGATTCTCGATGGATTATGGGTGAAGCGCCAGGTGTAGATCGTTATTTCGCGGCTGCTGGAACTAATGGAAATACTTTTCAAGGTGCAGGAGGAATGGGAAAATATGTGTCAGAATGGATTGTTTCTGGACGTCCAACAACAGACTTATTTCCATTCTCAATTCAAAGATTTCATGCTTTGCACAATAATCGAAACTATTTGCAACAACGTGTTAGAGAGATTGTTGGAAAACATTATCAAATTCAGTATCCAAATCAGTCAGAATATCAGTATGCAAGAAAACTCAGAACTAGTCCACTTTACTCACTTTTAGAGCAACGCGGTAAGTTAATTAAACGTGTTTGAAGATTTGAATCTTTAACAGCTTTCAAAAATTAAAATTTGAACTTTGACTTTTGAATTTTCAAAAGCAGTTAAAATTTGAAATTCTAAAAGTCGTTCTACAAAAATTTATATTTTCTATAGGCGGCGTTTTTGGCACGAAAATGGCTTATGAGCGAGCTCTGTATTTTGATACAACATATAGGCGTGGGGAACCTCTCCCAACAATGCCAAAACCCACGTTCTTCAAACCACCTTATTTCAATTTTATGGTCGACGAAAATGCAGCCTGTCGTGAAACCGTTGGAATCATTGACATCTCATCATTTTCAAAAATTAAAATTAGCTCTTCCAGCAAAACAGATGTCGTCAGTTACTTGCAGAATGTATGTTGCAATAATGCAGATATTGAAATTGAGACGTGCATGAAAACTGGAATGCTCAACAAAAATGGTGGATATGAAAATGTAAGACTTGTAATTTAAAGCAGCAGCTGGGTAATTTTAATTAATACATTGTTTTTATATTTGTGTAGGAATGCATCATTGTAAGACAAACGCCAACAACTTTCTTTATGATATCACCATCAAGTCAACAGACAAAAATATTGGAATGGATGACAGACAATCTACCGAAAAATAATCGTACAATCAAATTATCAGATCACACATCTAGCTACACAGTGTTAAATGTCACTGGTCCTAAAGCTTACTCATTAATCTCGGAACTGACTAATTCTGACATCAATTTGAAGCATTTCCGTTACAAACAAATTAATATTGGATTCGCTTCAGAAATTATGGTCATGAAATATTCCCATACAGGAGATACTAATGGTTACTGCCTCTATATCCCATCAGAATATGCTTTACATGTCTACGATGAATTAACCAAAGTTGGAATTGATTATGGCGCAAAGGATGTTGGCACAATTACACAAAGATCAATGAGAGTCGAAAGATTTATTCCACTTATGGGCGATGAATTGACATCAGACGTAACTCCGCTTGAAGCAGGCCAGGAACATTACATTGACTTCTCAAAGGACTTTTTGGGCAAGGCAGCACTTTTAAAGCAGAAAGAAATTGGATTAAGGAAAAAATTAGTCCTACTTATGCTTGATGATTTTGATGTTGAGGCTGACATTTGGCCATGGGGAAGCGAACCAATCTTTAGAAACTCAGAATATGTAGGAAATGTCACAACAGCTTGCTATGGATTCCTTTCTGGAAAAATGATTTGTTTGGGATATGTTGATGGAACTGATAATGTGACAAGAGATTACATTTTGGAACCAGGCGCAACTTATCATATTGATATAGCCAATAGATTCTTTGAAGCTACGCCATATGTCAATAGAAAGGATCTGCCATATTTGAAAGAGCAACAAGATGAAATGAGGGCAAGCAATTTCCATCAAAAAGCATCCGTTTTCAGAGAGAAGAAGAAGGTGTAAATTTATGAGTTGTTGTCTGTGTTTTTGTGAATTGAGTTATGAATAATCTGTCTGGTCATGAAATTGGTGTATTCTGGGTGAAAAATAATCAATTAATTCAAATTATGAACCTTAATTTAAAATTTGGAACTTCCGTTATCTTGTCAAATATTGCTCAAAGATTTGACATGTTAATTTCAAATCCTATATTATAATCAAACCACAGTACTCTCGAAAAATATCCCAGTATTCACCCCTGAGCCAAGACTATCCTGAATCATGTATTTATTATATATTATCGTGTTAAATTTGCATTTTATGCTTTATAAATAAAGTATTTTCAACTTTTACGGCTATTACTCAATGAGTTTAGTAGTGTAAAGGAAAAACAATGGTACAAAAAAATTATATGACGTCATAGATTCTTCAAATTCCTGTCTCAACATGTTCAGCATTTTGCACTCGATACATCTTTTAATTTTATGCCCTATACATGTATTACAGTTTCAATCACTGAAGAGAAAACATCTCAAGTTGGATGGACTTCTCGAATTTCAAAAAACCTGTGCTTATGACTGAATACGTTAAGTGCATTTCCACAAAAGTAGTTACGACTACAAAGACTGAAGTTGTATTAATTAACAATAACAATAATACGTCGAAAAAGCGAAAACGGTAAGCCTTACAAAAACAGTTGTCGGTGGAGAATCAGCGAGGAAATAAATGTGGAATATTAATTGATGTTATTATAATTATATTAAGTTTGTGCGACCATTAATATTCGTGTTCCTTAAGTCGCTCAAATGCTTGTGCGTGGGCGAATTGATTAACGGAAAATTGAAATTTGAATTTTGGTCAGAATTTTGTGAATTAAATGCTGGATTATAAAAAGAGTTGACATTAAGGAAGCATTAAGCTGTTAGATCCGCTTGAAAACTTTCAGAAAAACTTCAAAATATCGATCGAGTTTTAACGGTAAAAAAATATTTGAAAATTCAAATCGAAAAACCTTCGAAAAATTGAATCAGGCAATACGAACAAAAACAAAAAAGTTTATTAATCGTAAAAAGTTGAAATAATTAAGGAAAATAGTGATATATTATGCATTTATATAGTTTAATCAAGAGTCAATCCTAGTTAAAATATTGAATGATCAAAATAATATCAAGTTTAGTGATTTTTTGTACCTTTTTTGACGATCCAAAAGAAAGAAAAAAAAAATTCTATTTTGTGTTTAAAGAAATCAATCAATAGTAAATTTTGAGGAATACAGCAATGAAAATCAATGACTAGATAAATGAGAACATTACAAGAGAATTAAATAACTATATTGTGAATGAGAAGGAAGAGATTTAAGTGAAAAAAAGCCAATTTTCTTTGCTTGTGGGAGAGATTTTTAATATTTTAGAAAAAATAGGATCAGTAAAGGAAATCAGAATTGATTCTCAATCATCTGGAGAGATGGTGAAGAGGTATATATACACAAATAATATTTTCTATAACCCATACAGCGATTTTGAGTTTCTATGAAATTGAAGCATAGTCGAGGAACAAAATGCATAAAATGTCAATCGCATGAAACAAAGAACTTAGTTCTACTTACTAAAATCAATGAGGAAAAAAAATATTGATCGATTCATCAAATTTTATGCTTTATATAGCGTATCTTTAAGATATTTCTCTCTTTTATTCACATCTCACGATGACCGCAATTCTTTTTGAAGACTAAAGTCATGCAATCTTCATATTATTATAATTTTGTGAATATTTCTTTTTTGGAAGATTCGTAGGAATTAATGTATATTTTTCTTTTTTTCAATTTTCTGGACGTAAAGATGAATTAAAGAAAGAAATTGCGTTTAGTTTGGATTCTATGCGTGTGGTAGTGCAAAAAATTATATTTTTATTTGTATTTTCAAGAATAATGATTCACTAGTTGCGTTTTGTCCACTCAATTAAATTCTTGCTGTCATTATCAAACAGTCTGTGGATACTTTTTGCATCATGAATTTCCATTAAAATATATTATTTTACCACATTTGTGGATAAGCACATGATAATTTAGTCGTTGAGCTCATGTGAGAGTAATTCCTTTTAGTACTTCTTTGTTCTGTGATTGATTTTACGGGATTTACGCTGTAGTGATTTGAGTGATATTTCCTATCAAGTTCTGTAAAACCTTACAAATGTTTAAACTTGTTAGTCTGTTGTAAGGTTTCAGTAAACATTCGTATGGTTTTGTAACCCTTTGTAATCAAAACCATACAAGTGCATACAAAGGTTGATCAAAACCATACAAATTCATCTAAACTGTTGTATGGTTTTATAAAACATTTTGTATTGCTTAACATTTAAGCCCACGCGACGACAATCTGTAAATTAAATGAACAAGAAGGAAAATTTCGTCATAGCCTCACGTTCCGATAACAAATCTTCAACTTGAAATTTGTTTATATACACAAGGAAATGACAAGAATAATAGCAACAATAAAACAACAGTTGACTTGCAATGCAGAAAAAAACTGAAAGTAAAGCATGACATAGAGAATGAAATGCATAGTGTACTTAGTCTTTTTGTACAGCATAATGTCTTTTCCTTCTCAATTTAGGCATTTGAGCACGATTACGATACGTAAAATAAAATAATAATAAAGTCAACATAAATCGTGTTTGCGCAATAAGCTATTACAAACTGATTAATTTAACAAAATGTGCAAAATTTCGCTTCCTTTAAATCCGCATAAAAAAAAAAAGTTATTATTTCTGTACATAATGGAAAATTAATTATTTAAATTACGTGAATATGATTGTTTTACGAGCAAATACGTAATTAAATCTGATGATCAAATAACAATTTAATTATTGCTGATAAGAGTTGAAAGATGATATTAACATATTAAATTCTATAATTTCGTTTCATCTCAGAACGGATGGAAGGGAGTCGCCAATACTTACCGAGTCAGACGATCATAGCAGTGATAAACCTAGAGTTAAATATGGAGAATTAGTTATATTAGGGTAAGCAAGACATTTATTTTAATTCAACTAAATCAAAAATATATGTATATAAAATTAATTACAGCTATAATGGTTTCTTACCGCAAGGTGATCGAGGGCGACGACGTTCCAAATTCATATTGTACAAACGAAATCAGTATAATGGTGTCAAGCGTTCAAAACATTACATAGTACAATCACCGGAGACAACACACGCGATTTTAGATACGAATCAACATTCAATCTCTTATACATTATCAAGAAATCAAGCAGTGATAGTTGAATATCAAGAAGATGAAAATACTGATATGTTTCAGGTAAAAATAAGATTCGCAGCATCTCTGTGCACTTTTCCATTCCTTTGTTCGGTTTTTATGAGATTTTTGACTCGTAAATTATTTTTGTGACTGCCAAGATTTTTATATGACTTGTCTGGTCCAAAGTTTGATGTATTGACAGTTATTTGCTCATCGATAAAGTAAATTCATAAAATTTAAGCTGCAGCTGTATAGAACATATCAAAAGCGCAAAGTACAATAAATATTTGAAACTCAGTACTAAGCTTATCAGACTGGCGAGGACAGATCTAATTATTGATTTGCTGCAAAAGAATACGCTAGAATCTACCGCAATGGAATTTTTCAATGCAATATTGTCTGCACTTAACCTTTTAGGCATTATATGATGGATATTTGAGCTTAGTCGCTCTACATCTTTAGTTACAAATGATACACGCGAAATGAATGGAAAATGCGCTTACATGTCTGATTAATAATTTTTTAAAATATTTAAATACGATTTAATTCCAATTGTAGGTTGGACGATCATCAGAATCTCCTATAGACTTTGTTGTTATGGACACATTGCCTGGTGATAAGAAAGATTCAAAAGTAATGCAAAGTACAATATCTCGCTTTGCATGTCGAATTATAGTCGAACGTAGTGAATCACATCGAGCACGAATTTATGCTGCTGGATTTGATTCGAGTCGAAATATATTTTTAGGGGTGAGTATTTAATTTTACCAAAAGGTATTTATCATAAATCATTATTTAAAGCTCCTCTCATGCTACCGCGTCCGCAATTGCTCATATTTTATTGTATTTTCGCCAAATTAAGATAATTTCCCAGTCATAATAAGAAGATATTAAAAATTCAAGGATAAATGTGTGTTTCGACCTGGCTTGTACGGCTGGTATGTAAACAAATTGAAGGGAAGAACTCCCAAAAGAATTCTTCATGTAATATTTCTTGTGTTCATTAAGCGTTAAAAATTTGACATTTTTATGGGTTCCACTGCCTTCCTTTTTGTTTCTTGTTACTAATAAGAGCGAGAGCGAGCACAAGAAACAAAAAATAAAATTAAATAAGAGCTTTTCTGTTTAAAAAGAAAGACGAACGACGATGGAAAGTGGAGGGTCGGTAGAGAATGTGTACAGAAACAGCAAAATTACAGCATCCTGTGAGAATTCTTCTTACTCTATGTTATTAATTTTAAATACGTCCCTTCGCTCCTTTATCAATTATAATTTGACTGGATTTGACTGGATTTGGTGAAAGTCAACTATAACTTGATTATTTTGAATGTTCTATAGTTAATTGAGCTGTTTTCATTCCATAATATCCCATAAATTACCTTAATGACGAATCTTCTAGCTCAATACAGGCTCTTGCTCCATAATTCTAGTTAAGCATGTGCGTTCATTACATTGCGTGTATGTGGATTACAATAAAGTGATATATGAGCACTGAAAGTGCATTTTAATAAAATTAAATCAACATAATTAAGTATTTATCTGTCGATCATGCTGATATCGATCATTTTGATATTAGAAAATTGCAATCAGTAGATAAAGTGTTAATCTTTGATGAAATTATCGTGCGAACTTATATAAAACAGTAGATTTCGACACATTTTGAAATTGGATATCTGCTTTAAGCTCATGACTTTCCAACCTGTCATCCATCACAGACAATCTTTCATTCAAAACCTTTAAGTGGTCGTAACGAAGTTTTTTACAGTCGCAATTAAAAATCGCATAACTAAACAGCTTAGTCAGCTGAGAAAGTTTCGTATTTGCACAGTCTAACAGACAGCATTGAAGTGTGGATTATGAGACAAAATTCTGAATATTTCTTATTATCTTTTGCGATAAGAATCTCAAAAACATTTGGTTCTTATCAATTCTTAATTTAAATTTGTAAATCTTTAAAATCTAACAAGATTGCTAATTGTTCTGAGAATAAACTTAAAACCATTAATATAATTAAGACGACGCCACAATCTAGCCAACAAACACGTGTTCTTACTTTCTATTCTCTTGATCTTAAGCTTTACATAGATTTTTAATTTCAAAATCAATATTTATCGAAATATTCTGTGAAGCATGAAAATTACCAGAAATTGGGTTCAACGTGATTTTAAAAAGTAACTTGTTGATTTTTGATGGTATATAAAAACGTAGCTCCATTAGATCCAATTTCTTTTGCTCTCATTTTCTTCACATTTAACCAATACAATATGGATAATTTGTATTGTGCTGTATACTTTTATATTTCCAATATCCAATAATAAATTTATGTTGGTCACAATTCCAATCCATTCCCTTGTTCTCCTTTAAGGCATAATATCGAATTGTTCTTTAAGCTTTTCCCTTCTTTCATAAATTTTCTGCGGCATTAACCATACGACAGTTCCTATTTATATTCGGGGTAAATTGGATGGGAAAAATTGGAACAGTTGAAATTTTTAAGACACTAAAGGTTGTTTTTGTTGTCATTTTGGCTGTGCAGTTATTTTAGTATTAAAATCAATTATATATATTTTATAACGTCTTTTTGAGATTTGAATATTCCGAAAACCCTTAATTTTTTGAATTTTGAACTTAAAAAACTGCTAATAATTCAAATTTTGAACTTTAATAACCGTTAAAAGGCATTTCTTCTTCATTCGACCAAATTAATTTTAAATGCAGCAAAAAATGAGTTTTAATAATTTTAGCAATTCTATTCATTATTCCTTTGGTTCTTATATGCATGCATTCATTTGACCTTTTTTCATACTTTACTTTAATACATTTTTCTTTCTATTTCCTTGTATGTGCAGGAAAAGGCTACAAAATGGCAGGACAATGTAGAAATGGATGGCCTTACAACAAATGGCGTTCTCATAATGCACCCAAAAGGTAAATTTTGTGGTGGTAACGCGAAATGTGGTTTATGGCGAGAGACATCATTAGGTGGCGATGTTTTTAGTTTACGTGAATCCAGATCGGCGCAGCAAAAAGGTCAACCGGTTAGTAAAGCTATAATATTTTTTATGTTTTGAGTACGGAGCATGAAACATGAGATTTTTTTTGCCTTCAGAATTACTAATGATACTTTTCTCATACTTTACATCCACTGCTGTCTTGGACTTTAATGTAATTTAGATTAAAGAGGAGTCAAATATTTTACAAGATGGAACATTAATTGATTTATGTGGAGCGACATTATTGTGGCGATCGGCGGAGGGCTTACAAAATTCACCGGTTAGTATTAATCTTCTTGTTGCTGCTACATGATACATATTAAGAAGTAGAAATGATAAATTGTATTCATTTTTCTTTCTTTTCTTGCCTGCCTGCCTTGCCATGCTTCCGCAACAGACGAAACGTGATTTAGAGAAATTGGTGGATGAAATTAATGCTGGACGTCCACAGTGTCCTGTTGGTCTCAATACATTAGTAATTCCTCGAAAAGTGACTCTCGGTGAACACGTAAATCAACCATATGTTTATCTCAATTGCGGTCACGTTCAAGGTGAGTTCTTAAAGCCTCATTTATCCATTAAGTCTTAAATTCGTTCTTAGAATGAGAATGGAGATTTATAATTGAATTAAGCTTGTCATTGCCAATTTTAATTAATTATTTCAATTTTCTTTTTATTCTCTTTTGTTGCCTTCCTACATCTTTACCAATTCATTTGGGATATGTATATTAATTTATTTCATGCCATGGAAACGCTCAGGTCACCATGATTGGGGACAAGATAAAACTGGAGCTCGACGATGTCCCATGTGCCTCGAATTAGGTCCAGTTGTACATTTGTGTATGGGAATAGAGCCAGCATTTTATGTTGATTCAGGCCTGCCGTCGTATGCATTCAATCCTTGTGGCCATATGGCTACGGAAAAAACTGTAAAGTAAGTTGCTTCTACTTCGAAATCTTTAGCTAAAGCTTGATGTTAATTTAAAAAAATTATTTCAATCCTTCATCCTACAGATACTGGGCGAATGTTGATATTCCACATGGAACTAATGGCTTTCAAGCAGTCTGTCCATTTTGCGCGACGCCTTTAAACGGTTCACCGGGATATGTAAAGCTCATATTTCAAGATAATTTGGATTAATCTAGGCATTTCGAGTACGCAAGTCGTAATAGAAAGTTGAGTTATCAGGATGATCCCCCAAGTTTTAGATTAATTCACCGTGTTAATGGAAAAATGAAATGATTTATGTTAAAATATATTTAATTAACAATCTCAATTTTGAATCGCAACAATAGTTTACATTTTGTATTATGAATTATTAATTAGTACATTTTTGATTCATTAATGAGACCACGTGTTAACGTAATTATTATTGATTTATATAAGTTTCAAATTGCTTTATTCTCTTCTCTTTTTTATACACAATCAAAATGTATGAAAGCTTTTGCTTTAAAAAGTGCATTAATTCGCCTGTATATTCACTTTTAAACATATGCGTGTTTAAAGACCATTTTTTTTCGTTATTCTACCTACATCAAATTTTATCCATGTTATGGTCAGTAATGGAACTCATTGATTGCAGCTTTTGCGTGAAATACACATATTTACCGACAATTTCAATGTAATTGTGCAATTTATTTAAGAGAGGCGCTTCATGTTACTGTAGTACGGAAAACATGAGGACATCACTTTGGTCTGAACTGTCAAAAATTCAAATATTAATGATTTGAAAATTTTGATCAAACATGGTTCAAAAATTTGAATTTTTGAAAACTGTTAAAATTTGAATTTTCCAAAACCGTTAGCTAAATTTACACAAAAATTAAATTATTTAAAGATTTCAAGCCACTGATCGTAATTACACCAAATGCACGCATGCCATCTATATGTTTATTATAATTATCATTTTAACTCATTTAATTGAAAGTAGCTTTAATAATTAATCAAACAATTTTTCCTCTTTATCACCCAAAAATGATGCGATTCAAAATCAATAAATGTGCTTTAAAGATGCAAAACAAGAATAAAAGAAAGTAAAATAATGAATAATGATTACAGAATAATAAATGAGAAATAAAGATTTATTGAAATAAGAGAAATTTTTAGAGAGAAGAAACAAAGGCTACCTTAGTTCCAAAAAAGAGATAAAAAAACAAAAAAAAATCCTTTAAATTGATGAATTTTATTTTCGATTTTATGATGAGACAAAAATTTCTTCTTTATTAGAAAATTATTAGTTGTAATGTTAGCAGTTGTAAGGATTAAGTGAGAAAAATATGATTTTTTGTTGAAAAAGTGACAGAAGTAGAAGTTTATATGAATTTAATTTCGGACAATTGAGCTAGGGAAATATTTTGAGAATTTAACTTTCATTTTTGATTTGAATAATTTTGAGTTCAATTTTTGAACCTTAATTTTGAATATGAAATTTTAAATTTTTCAAAGCTGTTAAAAATTTCAATCTTCATGCTCTAATGGAAGTAGCATGTAAATATGAATTTTAAGTTCATAATCTCAAGCAATAGCTGTGCAAATTTTCAACTACAACGGATTTTCACTAATAAATTCAATTTCGGTGAATATATTAATAAAACCTTTGAATCCACAATCAATCAAGGCTAAACTCTGACCCTCCAATTAATATCCAATTTGTAAATTCACAAAATATTTCCAATCAACCATCCGAACATGACAAAGCAGTGAGAAAAAAAATATTAATCCATTGGATGTATATTTAATGACTAATTTCACTTTTTCTCGCCCCTCTTGTGTTGACTGACGATGAAAATTTTACATATTAAAAAAATAGCCATTAAAAGTGATTTAATTAATGATAGAATTTCTTAGAGTTAATTTTTTTCCTTCTTCTGTCGATTGAATGCGCGATGTAACCAAATGAGAACTTATTTCGTCTACAAAAGTAATAAGATTAATAATTAAAAAAGATCATCACTCGTTTTTCTTTTTTTGTGAAAAGAAATTAAATTTCCCTTAAAGAATAAAACAACAAACATTATTTTATGTAAAATGTATTTTCACTTGTCTTTATTTTGCGTGCCTTTTTAATCTTTAAGTGTTTTTCTTTCAGAATAAGTAATTCATATTTGTTTTCAACGGACTGTTTATCTTTAAAATTTTCAGTAACATTGAAATGAAGTTCAAAAATTCAAAGTTAATTTAACCGTTGAATTTCAAATTTTTGAAAACCGTTGAGAATTTTGACATAATGAAGCTGTTTATTCCACAATTTCTTAAAATAAATTGTTTCTAAAATACGAGAATAAAAGAAACTAACCAGCTGAAGCAATGATGACGATAAAAAAGCTTTAAATGTAATGCTGAGTTGATTATTAGTATTAAAAATGGTTTTTATAGCTTTCCATCTTTATCTCTTCTTTCTTCTCCTTTCAGCATCAACAATAATGTTGTTTTTATCGATAAATACCACGTTGCTGATATCTTAATTTATGACTTTAAATTGCTTTGTGGATGTTTTTTTACAGATTTAATTTAAAGTTTTGGTAGACGATGTTTGTCTAATGAGAAAGTTTGTCAACAACTTAATGTCAAGCTAATGCTGTTTTTGAAGGAATTTTTAATCTTGAAATTTCTTAGGTATGTTAAGTTTAAAATAACGGCTCCTGAAAAATTCAAAATTTGAAACCATACAAATTATATTGAACTTTAAAAACATTTGTAATGTTTTTGTATTAATTTTTTTGAAATTAAAAATACCGTTAAAATTTAAATTAACTTAAGATAAATTTATTCTAAATTTTCACATGTCACAATTATTTTTGGGTTCTTTAATTCAAACCCAACTAAGAGTATTACAAATAATGAGACAATTTCGAATAGAAAAATCATCCAGTAGACAAAAAATGGAAGCCTGAAGTAAAATCGCTCATTAATTATCATTTCCATAGTTCTAAAATAGAGCTTCATTGCTACAAACATGAGGACAATCAGTGGTATCACTATGAAGAACCAAACTCCTTTGTGCATTTGCTAATAAATTAAAATAATTATCAACAACTTGAAGACTATCCAAATCACCATAAAATTTACCTTATTTAAAATCACAGAATAAAACCAGAAAGACAACAATCCCCATAAAGTTGAAAACATTAGCACAAAATGAATCTCAAAGATAAACCAGGCTGGTTCAGTAAATATTTCATTAGCTTCATACGCTAGAAGAATTACTATATGGAAGAATGCAACAATACTCAAGAAACAGTTGACAAGTCCAACAATTTTTCCAAACTTTAAAACAATAGATTCACTTTGTTCCATTTTTACAAATAATTTAATTCACAGATTTGACACCCAATTGATCTTGAAGAGTTTACAGTAAACACTGTAGCTTGATTTCTTTCATTTTCATATTGTTTTCATATTTTTCTTGTTTCTATTTTTAAAAGATTCTCAGCAAGAAAATATTTGAGAAAATCTTGTAATAAACAAGATCAAAGACACGTGATTCCGATTTTGTGTGACCTTATGATTGTAGTGTTGGTATTTACATTTTCTTTCGGAACAAAGAGTTCGAAGTCGACTTGAATATTCGAATTGAAATCTCAAATTGATCATTTCTTCAACTTTTGTGCTTGTCTGTTGTCTTTTAGAATAAAAGTTTGAGAGTTACAGAAGCAATAGAAAATCTATCATCAATTACAAGTTAGTTTATAGCAAATAGTTTTATCCTTACTCAAGCAATAATAATTTCAAATGAAATGTGTCACTAGAAACAAAATGTTCCTCTATCCATTCTCACTTCCAACTATGAAAAAATTTGGAATAGCAAAAAAAAAATATTGTTTCAAGTTTTCGGTGTGAGGCAGCACGAGAAAAGGAAGAAAAAATCAATGAACCAATTGCTGAAAATTGAAAAGGAAGAAAGAAGAAAAAAATCTTGAAACTAATTTGTAATTTCAAAAGCGTCGTGCGATGTACGGAAACAAAACATTCCATTATTATTATTTTCTGATAAATCATTTTTCTTTTTCTTTCCTCACACTTCCTTGCTATCCAACAGCCGCCCGTTTTAAGTAAGTGAAGAACATAACAATGACAGAGCAATGAGAGCAACTTTCATTTCTCTTTTTACATCGCATTGACAAATTGACAGAAGTTTTAAAGAAAGGGAAAAAAGAAAATTGAAAAAAGGTTCTACCTATGCTCGACACTATGTAGTAATAGGAAGATGGGCAGATCTGTAGATGTAAAATTAGTTTAAAGGTATTTTCTAATTTCAATCTTTGAGTTTGTAAACATTTGGTTGATGTAAATGATTTAATAAATATCAAGATTGTGGAACTGATCAAACATGATTAGGAAAGTCAGTTTATGAATTTTGGAACATTGACAAATATTTGTTTGGAGTTTATCGAGTGTATCAAACAGAGAACTGGATGTTTTGATAAACTTTGCAAGATTCAAGTTGATTGGAAGTACAAATAGACTTTAACTTGATAAAAATCTTAATATCATCCCTAGAATTGCCCACTTTCATCTGCTCTCTACATTAATTCTTCCTATTCTCCTTCCGATCACTTCTTTTCAAAATTAATTCTGAAGTTAACAATTTTCTCGATTGAAAAAGAAATACTCTGTGCTACTCACTATGACTGCTGTTACAACAATAGATATACAATGTTGAACAACACATTGAAATCAAATTATGTTTCAAAGATGCTGCTTTATTGCCTTATGGCTTACGTTCAGGTGCATTAAATTATCTCTAAAATGTATTAAAGCGCTTCAATCATCTGTTGGCTATTGCTGACTTTTGTATTCTTTCTCATTCATCCATTCATATTTTTAATTTGAAGGCGAATAAAGAAGACTCGTTGGGAAGCTTTTATCAATAATAATAAGAATCTCTTTTCATTTTTCTTTTTATATTCAATTCGGACAGACACATTCGATAACGACAAATGACGGCAAACGTGGTCTTTCCTGCATTTTCAATTTTTTTTTCAACAAGACATTGATGATGATGAGAAAAAGGAAACATCCTCGAAGATAGTGAATAAAACTAAGGAGAGAAAATTAGTAAATTATAATTGTGATGCAGGCGACTTTTCTAATTTTGGTTCTAGAATCTTACAACAGATTGAAATCATTTCAAAAGCTTCTTCTTCTTAATTAACTTTATTATGGTCCATCAGCTTATTGCTATTTAAATACCATTCACAATTCCAGATAGTTTAATTTACAAATATACACAAAGAACAATCAATAAAATCCAGTCAGCACCAATTGATTGATAGAACTTGCCCGCGATATATGGGGAAACACACAAAACCCAAATTATCCTCACAACTGCCGCCAATCGTGATTTGTCAATGTAATCAAATGTTCGTTGGTATTCCGATGATGATCAATTCCATTTTATCTAAGTTATGTGCAAAATTTGCACATTTTTTTTTCAATTTCAATTTATATCCAAAATTTAATTAAATCGCGACTTTGCTGAGTTTCTCCTTGGTATCTTTGTTCTTTGTTACTTTGAAGACAGTTCCCGTAGGTTTGTGACTTATTCCTACGCGCAATTAATTAATTTTGAAGTATTGCACAATTCCACAACCTCCTCATTCGGAGGTTGGGAGAAAACTCTCATTTCAAAAGCCTTACAACAGATTAAATATAAATTGTAAGGTTTCAATAGCTTCTCTAACATATCAAACCAGGTTCGAACCTCTTGTGGTTCTAGTAATCATTCTTTGGTGACATAAGATGCTCGGTTCTTGTTATTATTGAAAGTCTCCTGCTTTAAAATCTTAAAATGAAAGAAAAAACTAATTTAGATTTTAGAACTTCAAAGACAAATAGCCAGTCAGCCATGGCAACCATAAAATCCAATTCTTTTAAAGATAAATGCACTAAAAAGCGACGATAAAGTTTTATTTGTCATGAACAATTTTTTGTTCTTCATTTTCTTTGAATCATTTGAGTGCCTCATAATTTAATTTTCATTTGTGAATGGAACAAGGAACAAGTAGGAATAGAATGGAAACAAAAAGAAAGAGGAAATTTTACCCAATATTGCTCTCGACCTTAAATCTACACTTTTTAAAGCGACTGCTATGGCATATTGCGCTTTTATTGCCGACACTTTGAACTTCATACTACACGAACAAGCAAGTAAGTCAATGGACCGAGAAATATTTTTTTCCCACCTTTTTGTCGTACGAGGAAGAAAAAGATCAATTTCCGTATTCCTTTTCAAATTATTATTGCTTGTGTCACGAAAATGAGATATCAAGAAATGGTCATATCCGGATATGTTCATATGCTTCAATGGATATTTGTTCAGTTTGCTGAATATAAATTCTGTAATTTTTCATTAAATTACACATTCTGCAGTTCTTTTATGATGTAAAAATCTATTGAATATCATTTTTATAGTCAGTAGCTTAACTGGAACGTTTAATGCAAATATAAAAGTTTTTAAATATTGTTCACGTCCTGAAATTCTATCGGATGATTAAACACAAAAGGGATCATTATCATGAAGTTCTCGGAATTAATTCATGTTTGTTCAGTTGCTGTATGTCATTGAAATATCAATTGTTTGCAAAAATGAATGACTGACATAAAAATTATTCAGCTTTTTTGCATAAATGTCGAAGTTTTGCATTAAACAAACAATTGATTGGTGATTTTTTTTGTAAAAGCATATATTGAATTGACTTTATACTTTAAGAACTTATGATTCATATCCGAAACTGTAGATTGGACAAATGGAAATATCAAACTGCAAGTTTTAATCATCTTTGAACTTAAGTTTCCAAATAATTGAATTAATATGTTCTCAAGCTTGTAATGCTAGCCATTTTAAGTTAATTGCAGCTTAATCTAGTGAGATTAATATTTTAATTCTAGTTCGATTCAAACTTCCAAACTTATTTGCTTCAAATTTTCATTCTCAATTCTCCTTGATTCGAAGCTTTATTCGTTTGTGTAATTTCTTTTTGATATGAAGAGTTCTTCCTTCCTACATCTTCCTCTTTCTCAGTAGGAAGTTGTTCGAATGTAATTGCAATAATTTTTTTTTTCTTCTCTTTACGTGTTATGAATGCAATATGTACGGACATTTCTACACATCTCAAAGCGTCATTCAATTCACAATCTCTAGACTAAAATAGATCCCTTTTTCATGCTTTTAATTTCTTTTACCTACTTACATATTCTCGAGCTGAAAGTACTTTGGATAAGATTGATAATTTTTTTTTCTCCCCTCATCACCTTTTTTTTTATTCGAGCATTTTATTGCTGAATAATCACTAGGATGGGCGTGCGAAGAGCGTCACCTTTCTTAATTGCAATTTTCATTTCCATAATGTTTATTTATTTTATTTCTGCCACTTCCATATTTTATTTCATGTTCGATAATTTTCTTCCTGTATGTTCCTTTCTATAATCCTCACTTCCTTCTCAGAATCCCATGAGAAAATCGGAAAAAAATATGAAATTGATTTTTTTGTTCGTTTTTGCTATAATACCACATGTGCTTCATGTTACTTGCCGTCTCATGCATTAATGTAACATGTATACTATCTTGAATATATTTATATTTGTTTATGTACAGCAGTAAAAGCATTTTTACCCCTTTCCACTGTTCTTAGCATAATCTTGATGTTGGGGACAATTTTTATGCCTATTTGTCGACTTGATGGTCATTGAGTGCTGATCTGATCAAAACATTAGGGGACGTTCACTTATGACATCCAGAGGGGAGGGGGGGTCAGCAAGAAACAACCGTTAATTTCGGACGTCAAAAGTGAACGACTTCTTAGTGATTTAATGGAGTTGTAAATAAAAGACTCTAGATAAAGTGGATGAGGAGTAGGGGGGGGGGGGGGGGGGGGGTTTGAGACCCCTTAATGGGACGCTTCTGGCGCTTAACCGATTTTCAGGAGTAGGGATAAGTGATTCTGGAGGTATAAGAGCTTAGTAAATTGTCCTGTAGCCCCACCAACTTTACCCAAATTTAACTTTTTAAAGAGACGTCTGAAGGGTCTGAAGGGGAAGCAGGTATGAAAATTCCATTAAAGATAAAAGTATCATTTAACCACTCAACCTGTTGTGCCTTAGAAAATGCGTTGCATACCCTCAAATTTCCTACGTTCCTCCTTTTCTTGCTTTCACATCAACATTTCTCGTCTCTCTTCCTCTTGATTGCGAAAAATTATTATGCTTTGGGAAATTGAGGGCACGACTGAGTATGTATGTATGTTTCACATATTGGCTCCGTTGGATGTTGAGAGAAGTATGAGGAAAAGAAGAAGGAGAAAATCTGAGTTTGATTGAAATCGAACAAATGCCAAAAAAATGCTACTCGCAT